CAGGAAACTCGTTCTGGGAGAGTCATCATTTTGAAACCAAGATTCTTGAACTTGAATCTCTGTCTCCTCTAATCCGTTTTCTAAAGCCTGCCCCAACTTTACCCTAAACTTTACCCCGGCTCAGTTTTTTAAAGCTCAAGCCTTGAGCGTTTTAAGCAAAGACTGCGGGATTTTTCCTTTTTCAAAGTTGTGGCTCTAAAAGCGGCCACAAAGGAGTCAGTTGACGATTCCTTTCTTAATATTTCTTCATAAACCATTCGTTCTCTAAAACGTGTTCCTTTCCCCTTTGTACCGTAATTTTGCCTCTATTTTTATTCGATCTATCCGCTTTTTTTCTGTTTTTGTTAGGGTTCAGAAAGGATATCGAAAGATACAAAAAGTGGAGAGATTCAGTAAAAATAGAGACAGGATGGCGGTAGAAAGGAAAAATGGACACGTTTTAGAAAAAAGTAAAATCCTATTTTTCCGTCTATTATTAAACTCCGTCATTTTTTAAGTCCAAAAATCACCTGCTAATCATACTTTTTTACGAATTACCCCAAAAAAACAGGTAAACATCTTCTGAAAAACTTTTCCTAAAAAATGATTTTGTTTCTATTTAGACGGAGTGATTTTTAGAGACTACTAATAATGGCTCTTTCTTGTCTAAATTTTGTTTCCTTTTTGAAAACTGTTAAACTGAACCTGTAAACCCTACCAGGCAAGCCAAGGTCAAAGCCCAACCAGATGCCAGATCCGAGCCCAGCCTTTCCCGCAGATGGGTTCAGCCAGAAGCCAGGTCCAGACAAAGGTACTTTTTGTAAAGTCAGACCTGCCTGTCTTGTCTCACCTGTCTCGGTATTGCCGATAGCTACTTCAAAAATATTTATCAAATCAATATCCAAAGTCACTCGGCTCAGGTACGGGCTTTTGGCCTTTTGACCCTTTGTATGAACTAGGCCAGGGTCAGGTCAGACAAAGTTCATTCAATTTAGGGCCACCTAGACCTTGGCAAACTTGTAGAGCAGCAAAGCCAGGCCAGGTCCTGGCCTAGTCCGACTTGTACTCCATTTAAGCCCACGATCCAGCCGTTCTCCCATCCCCATCCCCTTCTATTTCTATTCCGAATTCGAATTCATTCTCAAGTTCTTCCCACTCACTAATTTCCTTTTCTTTCTTCTTCACTTCACTTCACTTTCCCCATCTTTTCTCAAAAAGCTCCTTTTCCATGAAGAAGAAGCCTCGTTCTTTCCCATCTCCCCCACTCACATCTGAATTTACGAGCAGTAGTCATTCCTCTTTCTTTGAAATTTCTTTTAAAGAAAATTTTTTGGAATAAGTTTTCATTTCATTCAAAGGTCCGCTAATTCAAAATTATGATGTTTCAAAATTGATAAAAAACATTTTCTTCATCGAACCTTAATGGGACCATCGGACTGTTTTGAATTGTGACTTCACTTTAGTTTACAATTCACTTCGAATTAATCTGTCCTTAAAGAAAGACAAGCCAAGATTCCACTTTGCCCACTCACCAGCTTTTTTATCATCTATAACAGTCAATTTATCAGAATCCGTCAAGCTCATGTTCTAATCCGATCAACCTGACAGAAGGTCAAAAGCCAGTACTTTTGAAACAGAACCTTGGCAATCCCTTTTTGACCAAAAATTTGTCATTTTACTCTATCTTATCTTAGAGAAAGCTTAGAGAAAATGTCGGACGATTAAAGTCTGAAATTCCTCTTCAATACGTTCCACGTGAAAATTGCTTTTTTTAAAGCTTGAAGCCTGAACTTGGCTTTGGTTGACTTCAGTCAATCCAGTCAATCCAGCACTTTTTGATCACTTCTGAAGCATTCAAGCAATCGAATGGTTAAAGTCTAGAATTCCCTTTCTCCACGTTTAACGTGAAACTTAGTTAAGCTAACCTAACTTCTGGATGGCCTTATAAAATTTCAAAAGTCCGCTCAGGTCAGGCTAATTTGCATATTGCCTTTTTTGGCCTGACCCGAAACGGGAAATTTGCATTTTAATTATCCCATGAAAATAATTAGAGTCTGGAGTTTAGCGTGAAACTTCGTTTCTTTTTGAGCTGAAGCTTGGCCCTTTTTGCTTTCTTTTCACCTTTTACAGATAAACAACGTTTGTTGCCAAGACCAAAACATGGTGATTTGTCTTCCTGTTGACTCCCAAAAATCTCGTCAAATTTCAGAATTCCAAGAAATTTCTTTGTCGATTTTAAAATGTCAGAAATTTTTAAAAATAGTTCAGAATCCTTCTGTTTAAAAATTAGCCAAAGTCAATTATTTAGAATGATTTCTGAAAGAACTTCTTTCATTTTAATCAAAGCCGAATTGAAAACTTTTCAATAACAACTTCAAGAAGCATTTTTCTTTTTCCTAATGGTAAAATGGCTTGATCAAAGTCCTCGCTTGCACTTTTCTCAAGCTCAAATTGAAAACTTGAACTTCAACGCTTCCTGAGTCAGCCTTCAACTCAAAAACTATGTATGTTTTGAAGGTTTTGTCATTTTTTAAGTTACAAAGTTTTCAGCTTCTTAAAAATCCGTTAGTTTAAAATTTATTCAAACCTAGGCAAGTGCGAATTTTTTAAAATCTCTGTTTCACTTTTATCATCATCTAACTGAAAGCTTAGACTGTAATAGAAGACGTTTCTTTGAAAAAACAAAATTTCACTTGAAGATCTGTTTTGAAGCAAATTTCTGATGTTTTCTTTAAAATTCCCCCAAATTCGCCCCAATTTTCTAAAGAAAACCCAGAAATTCTCTCTATTTTTTACCTTTTCTTTTCGAGAGAATTCCAGCCAACTGAATGACCGGGAAGTTATTAGGAATACATTTATTCGTGGGGCAAATTCAAAGGAAAAGTTCGTTTTTCACAGAAAATTTATATTTGAATGAATTCTTGATTCTATTTTCATATTTGAATATATTTTGGTAGACGGAGAATGCCTTTATGACACTTTTGACGCCCGGAATCATCTTGATTTCTTTGAAACTGATCTAAGTATCAAGATAGCTTTTTGGAGACATTGGCTTTCATTCGATGATCATCGGGAATCGATTTTCAATTTTCGAGCAAAAATACAAGAAGGGAAAGAAGCGATTTCAAACGATTAGTGCAAACGTGGGCTTAATTACTCAGAGATATTCTTTCTCAGAGATACTCAGAGATATTCAGAGATATTCTTGAAAAATGAGAAATCTCAAAAAATTTCTCGGAATCCGAATCTTTCCTTGTCTCCTGAAAGTTCACATCGGAAATCTCATTTTTCCCATTTTTTTCATGCCAAAAAGTGATAGACTCGATGAAATTTTCATGATTTTTTTTCCATGACTGAAAAAAGTAACGAAAAAAACGAACGGGAGAATATCCATATCCTTTTTTTCCCCCAAGGGATTTTGGGGAAAAGAAAATTTTCGTTTTTGCGTTTTTCCACATTTTCCGGAAGAAAACCATTGAGAGAAGGGTTTTCAGTTAGGCAATCCACACCAGAAAAGCATTTCGAAAAGCATTTCGAAATTTGATTTTCCTCAAAAATTTGATATCAAAATGAGGCTTTCAAAAAAAGGCATGTAACATTGAATTCCATAACATTCAATATCAATTCCATAACATTCAATATTCAATTCCATAAGATAGAAATTCTTCGGAATTTCGTCTTTCTTTCGAAACTTTTTCATATTAAAATTGTTATGGAATAAAAATCTATGCAAAGCTGAAGATTGAGTGAATTTTTAGTTTCAAGAAATCCGAGAGATCTTTTTGAAACAAAACAATCACTTTGTTCAACTTTACTCGATGGAAATTATTGTCAACTGGCAGAACAAATAGTTTTCGAGAATATTGAAACTTGAACTTTTCTTTTTCTCCCCAGACGTCCGAGATTTTTCTTTTTTATGGTATAAAGCTTGCTTATCAACGATCAAAAACTTCCTTTTTTTGCTTTGAATTCTAAAATTTGAAACTTTACTATCTTTAAACCTTGAAGCCTCAAATTGGTTCCTGTTTTTCAATGGTTTTTCAATAAAACCGAGTTCCTAAAAAGTCAACTCAATAGTTCTTTTGTAAAATACTTTCAATTTTCTTTCATTGCCAACGGAATGCTTGTAAAAAAAGACAAGTTTCAAAATTGTGGAAATTTTTTAATGCCCCAAGTTTTTAATAGTCCCGCAGTACCTCTCGACAATGTACCTCAAAGATTCACCTGTTGTCAAAATTTGACTTCCGCTTTCGGGATCGAGTTTCGTAGAACTTGAAGAAGATTCTTTTGGTCAGCTGGCTTTTTTGAAACTTTCCATTTGAAACCTTTCAATTTTTAATTCAAAAAACATAAAGGTTGCCTAGATTTTAAAAATGAAAGTTTCAACCTGTAAAAAATTCTCTAAAAATTAAAATTTTTTCGCATCTGCTTTTCATTCCGATTATCGTTGTCGTTAAATCCTCGAAAAGTCCTCAAATCTCTCGAAAAAGTTCTGTTCTTTGGAAAAGAAGACCTACTGAAAACATTGAGTTTTTCAATTTGAAGTTCTCAAGTTTGCATCCACTTTGGCCCGTTCAAACTGAAACTGAACTTTCTGTGTTGGGTGTACTTAATGCCCTCTGAAGTCCCATAAACATCCTCTTTACTGGCGCATTCAATTCTTCCATTTCCCCCTCATGACACCAAATCGTTTCTGTGAGAGGGAAACATTGAAACAATTTTTTTTCATTTCCTCTTTACTTCACAATCACAAACTGGCCCTTTATGCTAAAATTGGCAGGGCTGATCTTTGAACCATTCTTCCCAAAGCATTCAATTTGTAATTCAATTGCGACAGACGACATCAACTGCTGTCCACAATTTTCGCATCACCTTGAATAACTTGAAACTTTCTTTTCAAGTCTAAGCTTTTTGTTTGTTTTTTGTAAATTTTCTTTACTTTTCAAGCTTTAACACTTCTTATTTCAGCCAGAATTGCTTTCCCCCAGGAATCCTCTCATAACCCGGTTCTTTTCGAATCGATGTCCACCACATCGCCGCGGAAACAATCGGCCACCTCGTGGGCGAGGAGTAAGCTTTCAGAAAGAAAATCTTTCAAACAATCTCACCAAAAAGCAAATAAAACTTAAAGCTGAATACGGTAATTTAGTTGAAGATTACTGTTTCTTGCTTGCCTACAGTATCCCCAAAAAACTGGCGAAGAAACATGAAACTTTAGGACAAGTTCATCAAGCAAAGTTTGAGAAAGAAAACTTAAAAGTAAACCTTTATCTGATCTTAGTTTTTGTTCTATAAATATTCTAAAAAACATTCTATAAACATTCTAAATTTGTGTTTAGAATTTGAAATATTTAAAGAAAAAGACCCATGTTAAAATTTCAACAATCTCAAAAAGATATTAGGTGCCCCTGATTTTAATGTCCAAATTTGAAACTTGTCATTTTGAAAAAGAGTTTTGATTCTTTTTCTGATTAGACTTATTAAATATGTATTAAATCCAAATCTAAATTCAACTCTTAGAAATTTCTTTTTCTCAAAATTGGTACAAAAGAGTCAAATCCTAGCTGAAACAATTGTTGCAAACATTTAACTGAAGAGATTCGATAAGGTTTCAAGATTTGACAGGGATTTGTAATTATTGCAATTAGCTGGATATCTTTTAGCTATTGTAGAATAGCTATTTTAAATTTAAATTCAATTTTTCCCCATTAAATCGAATGCAATTTGCACCCACATTGTGTAAATCTCTTGAAGAGAGCCTCAAAGAAAGCTTTTGAATGGGAAACATCTGTTTCAATTTTGAGTCGATCTTGCGTCTGAAACTTTAGTTTGTCTGAAGAGAGGAGTATTATAACGAATTCACAAATATTTGATCACTATCCTTTTCAAATTCCGAAACTTACTCAAGCCGGTCGCTTAAATGGCCGGAGGTGTCTACCCACATGCGATTGTCAATCGAACAACGAGATTCCACAAAAGTTGATAACATTTCTTTACGGTGTACAAAATTCTGGGTTTATTTGGAAAAAAAAGGCCATAATTTTAGAAAATGAACATAATTTATCGATCCTAGCAAAGAGCCGCAATAACTTTTGATTCCAAACAACATTCCAAGCAACATTCCAAGCAACATTCCAAACAACATTCCGAGCAACATTCCAAGCAACATTCCAAGCAACATTCCAAACAACATTCCGAGCAACATTCCAAGCAACATTCCAAACAACATTCCGAGCAACATTCCAAGCAACATTCCAAGTAACAATTCCGCTGGTACGTGTGTACTTTGTGCCCACAAATCTCGTAAACATCCCCTTTCTAGCACACTCAATCCTTCCATTTTCCCCTCACAGCAACGATTTGATGTCAGGGGGAAATGGAAGAATTGAGTGCACCAGAAAGAGGGGTTTTACGGAATTCAAAGAGAGCACAAGGTACAGTAAATAAGAAGTTATTAAAAAGTCAGTAATCCTTTGATATCTTTTTCGTTTTATTTTTGTTTTTCTCTAGCGAAATTTTATGAGGATTCTTTTAAAAGCAACCTTAAGTCGATCCGATGCTTGTACGTCGAGATATAAGCAGTGAAAGTTGACCGGCTTCTGCAGGTTTTCCTTAAGAAAAAAACCGCAGAAGCCGGTCAACTTCGACACCGTTTTTCTCTATTTTCTTACGTCGTCAAAGTTGAAACGCAAAAAAGCAAATTTTTGGTACTCTGTACTAGAGTTAAGTCACATTTCCCAATGAATCAATCGGAATCTCACTGACCACCGCTACTTAGCTATTTTGCTCATAAACCTGCCTCTTCCCCAGAATTATTTACCCACTCGTGTCCGCAAATAAATCCCGCAAGTAGACGTTTTCGATTTCGGTAAGAAATCGGGTAAACATTTCGGAGAATCAGTCAAACTTTTCGACTCATTGTAACTGTTAATTTCTGTTTTTGATTTTGGAATTTTGAAACCTCATTATTTTTGCGAAATTTTGTCAAAATGCGAAATGGGCACACTGTTTCTTCCAATTATCAAAGTTTCCGGAATGCACGTAAGGAGGCTAATTTTAGAAATCATTTTAGAAAAAAATTTCTTTCAAAATTGGATATGAATCATTTTTAAGCAAGAAACTTTAAGAAATTTCATCTAGAACTATCTAGTTGAAATGTAAGCTTTTGAACGTCTCTTTGAAAAAGACGAGTTTCAACCTCATGTAGCTCATTTTGAAAATCGAAAGTCTAAGTGCCTACGCTATTTAACCAAAAGGATATTCAGCCTAGTGTTTTATATAGAATAAAGGATATTCAATGATAACAATTCAATTATAAGAGAATTTTCCAGAAGTAGCCCTCGGGACCTATCAGGATCCGTACAACAAGCCTGAGCACGAGCACACCTTGAAAGGTCGGTTTTGAGGAAGCAAATTTCAAATTCGCCAAGTCCCTGGGGTCGATCCTTCTAAAATGCTGGCCATAAGTGGACTTCAAGTTTCAATATTTTTAAAGTCACGAGCAAAGCATGGTGTTTAATGCCTCTTCCTTTGTGTGTGAAATGTAAAAATTTATATACCTAGCCTTATGTTTCATAGCTAACGTACACACTAGCGTAACAAATAAACCCTAGAGCTCTGAGCTGAGAACGGAAGAAGAGGTGCCAAGCAAAACCAATTGCCCGCATTTCACCCCATCAACTTGAAACTGAAACTAAACTTTAATTAAAACTTCAGTTCTACAGCCCCTTTGGATCAGTTGCAAAAATTCTGCTTTATTTTTTACATCACACCCATCCGGTTTATTATAGCGTAACAATAGAGTTTTATTTTCTTAATCTTGAAACTCGTCATTTTAAATACGTAGAAAAGATTACTAAATCGTCTTGAGTGCGCCAGAAAGGGGGTGTTTACGGAATTCGAAGAGCACAGAGTGCATCTCAAAGAAATCGTATCTATCTTTTTCATTTCCAGGTCGCGAGCTCTACTTGTTCGTCATTTTCTACACCGTTTGCGTGGGTTTGATCGTGTTGATGTTCGAATTGTGTATGCCCGTTTTGTTCAACCCGAATTACCCCTATCCACCGGATGAATCACCGCCAAAGTAGATGCTCGAATTCAAAGTTGTTTTTGCTTGCAAATGTATTCCTCTCTTATAATCCGTTTCCTAAAAGTCACCCGTTTCAGACGAAACTACCGTAATTTACTTGGTAGCTTTCACTCGATTAGCCCAATTTTGGTATGATTCGATGAGGAATCACAAGACTCACTCAATGATACCAAAATTGAAATAATCGAATGAGAAATGATGGGTGGATTACGATAGTTTATCTAGAAATGGATGCCTTTTAAATCTCGGAATCAGAACCTCTTCCCGTTGCCCTCAATTCCCCATTTCCCAACTCGATTCGGTGATATTTTTGCACTCATTTCGTTTTCATTTCTTCTCTGATCATACGGGTTCCCGCACAAATCCTTCACCTGACAATAATAAATGTTTTGCATTTTATTTCCATAAAGAAACTCTTCATTTGATTTATTTCCAATTGCACATATTATCCATAATATTTTGTTCCGTCTTTTATTGAATTCGCCGAAATCAGTCGATTCAGATGTTCAATGACAAATTTGTACTCTTTTTCTCGATCCATTTCCCGGATCATGTCGGCGGCGGTTCTGAAAATGAGAACAAAATCCTAGAAGAGCCAATAGGCTTCTTGGAATCTCAAAAGACTGACTGTCTTGGAAATTTTATTGAACAATTAAGTACAATTAGATTCAGACGAATTGCTATTTCTCAGTAGTGTACTTTATGCTCTCCGAATCCCGTAAACACCCCCTTTCTAGCGCACTCAATTCTTCCATTTTCCCTCGAAACATCATGTCGTTGCTGTGAGGGGAAAATGGAAGAATTGAGGGCGCCAGAAGGGTTGTGTTTACGGGATTTGTAAAGCACAAAGTACCTCGACGGTCATTTTATACTTGAACTATAAACGGATTTTCGCATTTCACCTTGTCAAACTTGAAACTCTTGAAACTGAAACTGGGGCGCGTCAAAATTGAGTGCACAGAAACGATATTTTTGCAAACTTTGAGTTTAACTTCTTTTTATTTCTGCAAAGTTACCTTAGTAGCTAATTGCTTTGAAAGATGCAAAGCCCGACCTCGAATTACTTCTGTACGCAAAATTGTCGTCATCGAAGAAAATCTCGCCGGCGCCCTCGACTCGATCCACGATTTTCGGCCAAATTGGTCTGAAATTCATCGAAATTTATCAATTGATCAAAAAACAATGAATCCATTCTCTAAAACGTGTCCCCTTTCTAAAGTTTCACAGACTTTCCCGCAATCGTCCCAATCGGTTTCACTCGTTGATGTACTCGAGAATCGAAAGTATTCCGGGTCTCCTGTTTGAAACGGAGAAAATCGACGAGATCTTGCCGGGAGAGATCGCAAAGGGAAATGTGAACGAAGAGGAGAATTGGTAGGGCACATCGTTCAAACATTGATCATTGATTTAGTATAGAAAAAAGGTGTAAAGCACCTGGAATTGAATTTTGGCTGAATTGAACTAGTGAACAATTGACAAGTGTCATAGTGATAGTTTAAAAAAAGAAAATATTCAATCAAAAGAATTACTTAAAAGATCACTTTCTTTTCTCAATTCATTTCATATACGGAAAAAATGCAAGAATTGACGATTGATGATTGAACGATTGATGTAACGTAAGATTGATGTAAGAATTCTTTAAGTGAAGCCGTTCACTTGTGAAAATAAATAGCTAATTGTTATAGAAAAGAAATGTTTTAAACCTATTCACGGAGTTTATTTTAACCCTTTGTTTAATCTGTTTTGGTTATGAAATAACACGAGTTTCAAATTTGTGACTTTTCAAAGTGAAAAGAGTTTGAGAATGGCATGAATGTCAAGGGTTTTCAAAAAGGAATAAAATAACTTTCAGAATTCTTTTAAAAGATATTCAATCAAAAGATTTCCTCCAAAAAAACCGGCTCATTTCTTTTCCCCATTCACTTTTTCACGGTTGTCGAGAAGCGAAAACGAGAATTTTTTTGTTAAATCAACCGGATTTCGGCAAAGAGGCTGATTTAGAGATGATTCCATTGCATTTATTATCGAATAAGCGCATCATTTTTATTAGATTTTAAATGCAAGATTCAAATTTAGATCTTCCTATACTCATAATCCAGATTTACTTTGAAATTCTTAAAGCTAACACAAAGCTAGCTTAATTTCAGACTCAAATTTTCCACTTAAACGACTTCAGCGAAAAAATTTCAATGCTAATATTGATTTTTGGAGTGTTATTGCTGATGAATGAAGTCGAAAGTCGAGGTGGTTTTGCTTTATTTCATCAAACCGAATCATTTCGGCTAATCCGTTTTCCAAAAAGCACTCATTTCTAGATAAACTACCGTAAGCCACCCGCCATTTTTCATTCGATTAGTTCTATTTTGGTATCATTGAATTACGGTAGTTTGTCTGAAATGGATGACTTTTAGAAAATGGATCAGAAGAGAGGGACACTAGCCTGATACCATTTTTGATGCTAAAATTTTCACCGATTTCCCTTTGGTCTTGAAAATATTGAAACTCAACTTTGATTTCTAGCCCCATTTCTGAGGGATCGACCTAGAGGACTTGGCCTTCTACAATTGCCAACAGGTTTGTGAAAAACGTTCAGAAATTCTGACCAGATTATTAATGGATTTAGTTATGCTTTATAAAGATCAAAATTGAAACGTTAGAAAATTTTCAAAAATGCTTAACAAGCCTTTTCCAGGAATGACCGATGAACGATCGGGTCTTTTCTTTCCTGGTTTAACGGTGGCTGGGAATAAAGCTGGTGAGAAGCCGCAGAGCGTCCCCGATGTGCACTTGCCCGGTCAGAAGATGGATTTCACTGGGAGGTCAGTGCACAAAAGCAATCTTCTTTCAACTTGTAGAAAGCGAAAGATTTTGCGATTTATTTCAGATCAGCTTTCAATCCATTCACCCACATTGCCTCAGCTGTCTACAACGAGGATTTGGTCGATTCTTGGGGAACTGGGTTTGCTGTGAATGTGAGTTGGGAGAAAGTTTTAACCAATTAAACTCGAGTCCCCACTCATAATCACCAATAAAATGAATAGCCAATCGATTGGCCGACCTCGAAAACCAAAAAGTTCACAGCTAAATATCTTCTTTTTATCCCATCTATAAAGCAAAAAAATCACTGTGTAAAGTGACTGGCGAAGTGTTCTTTGCGCGGCTACAAAATCGCTCTGTATCTGGCATACCCGTTTGGTATAGGGTGCTTTCTTTTTGGAATCCGTAAAGGGAAAGGAGCGGACAGCAAAAAACCACTATTTTATTCAAACAGTAACTATATTGAGGGAAGAATGCGACTGCTGAAAAAAGTGATCAAGAGAATTAAAATGAAAACAAGAAAGGTAAAGAGTTTAAGATCAAGAAAAACTTTCAGGGTGTCAACAATTTCAATCTGGGCGTTCGTCGAAACTTCGACCAATTCGCCGACGCGCCATTGTTTCGGTAACTCTTTGGCTTAGCAAATTGTTGTGGTTGGGTGTTTTTAAGAGCTGAATTCGGCTGAAATCCAAGCTGAACCATTTTAAAGTGAGGTACCGTACTACCAGAATTCGATGCCTCCAAACACCTTTTTAGAAACGACGGAATGTACCAACCGTTCATTACTTCTGGCGCCGTTGGAGCCGAGTACGATTTTGTGAAAATACGCGAGGTTTCGGGTGAGACAGACATTTTTAAGATTTTAGGGAAGTTCTTGAACTTTGCTGACCCTCTAATTGTGAAAGAAAAAGCTTTCGAATGGGTTACATTTACTTTGCTCCGTTTAACCGCGATCTGGTCAAAGCTCTTGAAGCTTTTAAATTTAATCTGATGGAACTTGTAGATTTTTTTTCCAGTTTGAACTTTTCAGGTCACTTGGACATTCCCCTACCCGGCATAAACGAGCTTTTCGACTTCGACGGTCGAATCTTGCTTAAGGGTTGGTGTCACAGAGTAGATTTCCCTGCTTGCTACTCTTTCAAATCCAATACAGATCCAGAATGAAGTCTGAAATCTAGGTAACGGAAACGGTATCCTCAACTCGGCGATGGAGTTCCCGTTGGTGTTGTCGGATCCGAACGAGCGCGCGCCGTACACGTTTAAATATCTGAATTTTATGGCCGATCGGCACATGCAAGTCAGATTTCAGTCAAACTAATCTAGCCGCCTTGTTCAAGTTAAAACGAGACTTGGCCCATCAGAGATTTATCCAACTCAAAGACTTGATAAGCTATCAAATCCAAGTTCTTATCAATCCCAAAAACAGATAGGATTTGATCGGACTCTTCCAAAAAACCAAAAGCCATGGCTAGCCAAGGCGAGCCAAAGCTAACAACTTTCAATTGACATTGGCCTATAATTTTAATCTTACTATTGAATTTGGCCTAAAACCTTGACTTTGGTTTGGCTTAGCCTGAGAAATCGGCTTCAGGAACAGGCCTGCTTGCGTTTGCCAATGGGTTCTGAGCTTGTACTTTAAATCTGTTTGATTTCAATTTCAACCCAATGAAAAGTGTTTGAGCAATAGTAATATTTAGCAATGTTAGAATAGAATCTTCCGTAGAATTTAACAAAAGTTAAAGCCTTTTAAACTTCAAAAAACAATTCAATTTAAAATGTCTTCCAGTACGGTCACGTGGTACCGAATGTGAACCTGATGGTGGTGCCGAAGAACAAGATCATGGAAAGATTGCGGCAGAATCGATTGAATCCGACAATGATCGGATGAAATGGATCATTGTGGCTAATATTAATAAATATTAATGAATTTGAGAACATTGGGGAAAATGCATAAAACTGCAGTCGAGAAGCATGGATTCATTAGTAATTTTAAAACTTGATTTGCTAGTTTCAAAATAGTGGATATCGGTAAAAGAACGATCTCTTTAATCAAGTTCTTTATCATAATGTTAATTGAACCCTTGTGACGCAAAGCTCGTTAGAATTGAGCGCTGAAAAGTTAGAGTCTATGTCATGGATCCGTATTACAGAATTGCTCGGCATTCTCGGTTTCAAAAGGATTTAGGAAACAACACAAAGGTATTCTAGATGCAGAGGCGGGGGCAAGCCATACGCGATTTCATGTAAATCCCCGTTTGAAATGATTCTCTGATATGAGGGTTATTGTAAGAGATTTACCTAATGTTTCATCCTTTAACAATCCTTCCAGAAACCATAATGTTCTGTAACTTCTGTAATTAGGATTGTAAACTAGGGATATCAAAGTGCATTCCAGAATTGAGAGCTTCATTTTCATTTTCAATCCAATGATCAATAGGTTCTACGACCTTGAAATCTCCGAGGGCACAAATCTTTAGCATTAAATCTCATTTGGGAATCATTTACAGAACATACGAAAGATCCCTGTGTAAATGACTGGCGATGTGTTCTTTGTGCCGCTACGTAAACGCTCACGACCTGGCATACCCATAGTGCTTCCCTTTTGGAATCATTGAGGGAAAAGTCCCTCTCCTCTGTTTCATCCTGCATTAGAGTCAGAGTCGTATATTGATCTCATAGGCTCAATATGATTTACAAAAGAAGTACCATATATGACAAAAAAAAGATTTCATCGTAAATTTGAAATCAATTTCACATGTGATCATGAAAATTGCCGGTGACGAGCGGCATCACAATGTGCGAACCACCGTCAACGACGATCGTTGAGCCAATGATGTAGCGGGAGGTTTTCCTGGAATGATTTTGTTATTCAAGGTGAAAACAGGCTTATCTGGCGCTAAAGGCTGAAATTGGCGGGTATAATTCAAATTTACCTTACTTCTAAAAAGTGATTCTTTTTAGAAGTTTTCTAAAATGAGTTTGAAAAATTGAGCTATCAATCCGTTTTTTAAAACGTGACCCTTCCTTTTCCTACCGTAATGTGTCTCTTTTTTATCCAATCTATCCACTTTTTATCTGATTCTGTGAGGGTTCAGAAAGGATATCGAAAGATACAAAAAGTGGAGAGATTCGATAAAAATAGAGACAAGATTATGGTAGAAAGAGAAAAGGGAACTCGTTTTAGAAAAGCATCACTCACCGATCCGCCAAGAAGGCGACCACGTTGGCGATGTCCTCGGGTGTTCCGACGAAACCACCCGGGATGTTCATCGGGTTTTGCTCCATGCTATGCTCTAGCTGAATGCAGAAAGTAAACATTTTTGGACGTAGGAGTTCCACGAACCTTCCTTGAGAGCTCCTCGGGTAAGCCCTGCTTTTGGAGAATTTTCGTGGCGACCAGGCCAGGGCTAAATGCAGTTTTTCAAAATTTGTATAACATAGTCGGTGACAGATCTGAGCTGATCAGACCAGAGATCAGATTCAAGAGATCGCTAGGCTAAGACAGAGTTCGCTTAGGGTCAAACGAGAATATACTAGATCTAGACCAAGTTTAGAAAAGGCCAAGACCTATTCTAAACTAAGATCATGCCTTGCTTTGACTGGTCAAGGTCAGGATTAGGACCAACTTAGATGACCGGTCAACCGATAATTGATTGAGAATACTTTCTTGCAGACATTTTGAAAACCTACCAGACTGTGTTGAAGCGAACACCCTTCGGAATGTATTCATAGGCAAGGGATCGAGTCAACTGACAAAGGGCTGCTTTCGACGTTGAGTAGAAGGGGAAGTTAGGCATCTTAACAAGTTAATGGACTTGGAAACTTTGAAAAAGGTATTCAGACATCAATTAGAGTCTGTTCAGTAGCATTTTTTCTAAACCATGTCAACTTTTTTGACTATCGTGGTCTTGAATTCAATTCTTTTCCTGCACTCACCGCTCCTTGCAGTCCGCCGATGGATGAGATGTTCACCACGTCGCCTTTTGTCGATTCGAGGTGCGGTAGACATAGATAGAGCAGAGAAACGATACTGAACGGGCACTATATTGGAACCGTGTGCTGGATTACTGTTATTACTAGCTACGCTAAAAATTCAACCTCCTTAGATTTAGGGCCATAATGTAGTCGTAGCTGTCGATGTCTTGATTCTGGAAGCCGGGCCCCTTGCCGCAATTGTCCTTGTCGAGAGCGCCCGCGTTGTTCACCTGATATGATAAAAGTATTCAGTTGAATGAAAGTAGAGAAAAGTATTCAGTTATTCATTAGACTACTATTTCATAGCTCACCAAAATATCCAATTTCCCGAAGGAGTTGAGGGTGTCGTTGACCAGTTTCTTGCGAAATTCATCCTTGGTGATGTCGCCTTGGACGATAAGAATTCGCTCGCTATTCACCCCGGCATTCACGCACTCTGTGAGGGTTTCCTGGAAGTGGGTTCATTATTCGTATTACTAACTGTAAAATTTTCGCTGATACCCAATTGTACGTACCTTCAAAGCCATCTCATCCCTTCCTGTAACCACCACCGAGGCTCCGTCTTGGGCAAGGAGCACGGCTATCGCTCGGCCGATACCATTGCTTGAGCCTGAAATGGTTTAGTTTGGATTCAGCAGATCGCTGAACTCGGTAGGAATCTGCATGTTTACTACCGTAATCTATAGAAATCTGGTATTCAACTTCCTCAAAATCATCGTAATCTTGCCTCTATTTCTATCCAATTTATCCATTTTTTTTGTCTGATTCTGTGAGGATATTGAAAGATACAAAAAGTGGATAGATTTGGGTAAAAATAGAGAGAAGATTACGGTAGAAAGGGAAAAGGGAACACGCTTTAGAAAGTGGATAGATAGCTTGGATTCGGGTGGATCTAAAAACAAAAAGATATTCTATTTGCCCAGGCTCTTTAGTGGTTGTTTAAGTTGAAATCAAATTTTACTATAAGCTTAGCAGTACCAGGGTATACCTGCTCCAAAAGTGCACTGTAGATTGGGTTTTCCAAAAGTAAACATTTAGAAAAAGTTGTTCAACCAAAAAAAAACCTGTACCTGTAACGAAACTTCAAATTTGACTCAAAGTTTAAAGCCTTCAGCCAGCTTAAAACCTTTCCTAGTCTGCAAGAAATGGAAAAAGTACAACACTTATACTATCTTCAATGCTAAAAAGAGGATAAGTTTCAAGAAAATAGGACTCCAGCACTCAAGAATTCATTATCCAGGCTTTAGAAGCCAAACAGGGTACTGTATTGGGTTCTATGTTTATCTTACGGTAGTTCACGCAAAAAATAATACCCGTAACAATGGCGACTCTTCGCTCAAAACGCTTCATTTTGGAATAAATCTAGATAAGTTTGAGATACTCAATTTTAAACCCCTTATATATTTTCTAAAATCGTTTGATTTATTTTCTCCTTAATTCCCTTTGTTACTTGATTAATCGCTTTGTGTGATGATTCACGTTTTATTCGAGTTTTTTTCGCGAAAAGGGAGTGATCGAGGGAAATTTTGAAGCAAAAAACGAGTAACACCTGACTTGGGAGCTGGTTGTTGCGATTTGAAAATGAAAAATGAGAGATTCTGGGTGAAAAGGAACTATATCAAAAGAGCGCCGCTAAAAGAACACCGTTCAAAAGAGTAGCGCTCTTTCGGCGGCGCTCTTTTGATATAGTCCTGTCAAAAGTGTCAAACTTGGTTACAGTATCGGAAAAAGATAGTGCCAAATAGAAATCACTGATACAGCTTTCAGGGGGCTAAATCAAAAGAGCGCCGTTCAAAATCAGATTTTTGTGCCCCAAATTTTTCGTTTTTAGATAAAAGAAGATACGACGGGGATTTCGAATTCGCCGTTGGTTTTGGCAGAAAACAACCGGTAAGTCAAGGTAAGGCGCATTTTATTAAAAGAAATGGTACTAATAAAGTTGAGGGGGCCACTTTTTCTGGGATAGTTTTATATAGAGTGTTTTCCTCTGTTCTCCTCGCGTTTTCTAAAATGCACCTATTTGAGAAAAGTGCCGTAGTCAATTCGTTAGTTTTCATCAGATCAATCCAATTGTTATATCATTGGCTGAGCCTTGTGATTCCTCATCAAATGATACCAAAATTGAGCTGATTGAATGTAAATTGGCACTTTGACTACGGTGGTTTTCTCAAATAGGTGCAATTTAGAAAACGCGTCCGTCGAGAGGAACACAATATAGTTTTATACGTAGATTCCAAAAAGCACAACAAGAGTTTGGGAAAAGGCGTTTCAAGCCAAGTTTCGGGGCTCTAAAGTGCGTGCTTCTATAGTGTCCTCACTATTAGGGACCCAAGCTATCGACGATTGGGGCACCTTTCAAGGTCAAAACTAGAGCCAAAACCATTTTTAACCACTAAATATCCATTTTCTACCGTATTTCTTCGAATAGAAGACCGGGGTAGGCTACTTTGCGCCAAATTTTTTGCGCAACAGGGTCATTTTGCGCAACTCGCCATCACTTTCTTCTAAGTGGGCCAATCTTTATGATTTTGGTTTCATTTTGTAGATCTCAATAAGTGCAACAAAATGAAACCAAAATCATAAAGATTGGCTCACTTAGAAGAAAGTTATGGCGAGTTGCGCAAAATGACCCTGTTGCGCAAAAAATTTGGCGCAAAGTAGCCTACCCTGAAGACCGGGTAAAGAGTATCATCGCGTACTCATGCGTAGCAGGCCTTTTTAAAATTTCTTTTCTGCATAAAAGCTTTCAATGAAGTGCTATAGAGCTGGAAAATGGCTCAAAAATCTGTTAGCTCATGTGGTATTTTTGAGCTGCTACGCAGGAGTACGCGATGATACTCTTTATTCGGTCTTTTATTCGAACAAATACGGTAACTTAAATTGACTGGTAGAGGCAAAGCAAATTGAAATTTTTTTATTTTGCTTGAATTTGATCAGAAACGTAGTCAGTAGGTTAAATTATGCCAGAAGAAGTGTTTTTGGCTGCAAAAAATGTTTTGAGAGACCATTTTAGACCTCTTCCCTATGTATATCTCTCTCAACACTGTATGAGCGCGCACTTTGCAGCCCCGAAACTTGGCTTAAAACGCATTTTTCCAAGCTCTGATTGTATTTTTCGGATTCTATGCATAAGAATCCTTCAGAAAAAGTGGTTGAAGGCAGTTAGTGGTTGAATTTAATAAGACTTAAAGCTTGGCCCCCTTTTGAGCGTTTTTGCATTGGCGCTCTTTTGATATAGTCCCAGCTTTCAGCAAAGTCTTAATTTTTGCTTAAAAATGTATCCTTTTTCATATCCCGCGTCAATTTCCACAGTAAAGAGATATTCGGCTAATTTGATGGTTCAATTTGGTTAGCACAGCGTTATCATCCTCCAATACTTTCGCTCGGGGTTTTCTAAAAAGTGGATAAATGTGACGGCGTGAATACCACTGACCCGACAAACGTCTTAAAAAAGAAAGCAGTGGAAAAAAATTTTCATTGATTTACAATCAAAATTTCAGTTTTTCATTTCATTTTTCATTCATTTTCATTTCAGTTTTTCATTTTCACTACTCGTTCCTTGAAGCATTTTTTAATATTAGAAGCTCAAAAACTTGAAACTTTTACTTTATTTTAGCCCTCGAAAACCACAAAGTCTCCTGATTGTTATTGGTTTTTCATCTTTTTGTCAAATTACTGTTTTCCAATCTAATGTGTGCTTTTTTTCAGAAATCTCATTCGCTTTTGAAGGAAGATGACGCGACAAAGAGTCTCTCGCTGGTCGACACATTGGGTGCGCTTTTTACCGTAATCCTTCCATTTCTTTGCTTGTGACTATTTTTTGGAGCTACCCACAGACGAGCTTACGCTACTATTAATGTTATTCGCTATAGAAAAAGTATTCATTTAACTCTAGTAACGGTTTAGTTAGGTACGGGGTAGATTTTTCTAGTTGAGCGGGAAGAAACGTTTCCTTGAAAATTGTCAGATAATAGTTGCATGTATAGCCTTATTGTACTTTGTTTCCAATTATAATGTTTACTTTAGATTATGGCAAACGGTGCCGTGCCAAATTCGACACCGCCTGACGGAGAGAATTTCGAGAACGCGACGGTCGTTGCGCACGATAGACCAGAAGTGGAAATTCTTGAAGAGGTTAGTTTGAACGTAGCGAAGTGCCAAGAAAAGCAATAGATACTAAAAATTTTATACCTTTGCCGATGTATTCGTGTTTATTAGCGTTAGCAACGTAGTGTAAAATAACCAATTAAATCATTCATTCATTTCTTTTTTTTTAGCCGACGAACAGTCCACTGGAGGAAGGAGAGATCGAGGATGTTAGTGAAGACGACAGACCCACCAACTCAATGTAAAAAAATTTCGCCTTGATCATTAAACTTTTAACTTTAGTCAAGTGATCGACGGTGAGGACAATATCGACAAGATTATCAAGGAGGCATATCAAGTTTGCTAGGGTTTTGTGAAACATGTTAGTTTTTTAGGATCTGCCAAAGGTTTCTACCAAAGTCATCTCTACTGTTGCCGAAAGCCGGTTGGAAAGCCAGCACAACGGGCTGTTGAAGGAGCTGAAGCGAAAGGACGAGTATCACCGACACCGATTTCCAAAAAAATGTGTGTTTAGTTTTTGCATTCACAACTTGACTGGCAATATTTCATTGTCAATCGAGTCAATAACCGTTTTAAAGTTTGTCTGATGTCAAAATATGTTTAGTTGAATCTACATCTCACAGAAGTCAATCACGTGACACTTACAGACGGGCTAGGCCCAGTGCCGGTTAGTTATTTTACAACTTTTTATTTGCTCATAATGTTTGCTTTAGACTCAAGATTTGACCGATCGTCGAACTCAACTTCGAGGCACGATGGCCAGATGGCAAAGAATTACAGACAAGAACTTTCAAATGAAGCAATTTCGGGACGTTACTCAAGAGCCAGTGATCGAGGTATGCTTTTGTGTTGAAGTTGCAAGTCTAACATTGAAAACGAGTAAAATTTCACTGGTAGATCTTTTAAAACACTGGTTTGCCAGATGGCTTAAACTACTCATGTTAATGTTTCTATTTAGCTGCGAACAGAGACATCGATGAACGCTTCGTGCTCTCACCACCACCCCCTGCTCCATTATTGCTACAAATGATTCCGATGCCACAAACTATTCAGCAACAAAACTGCAACAAGGTATTTTAGTAAACAACAACTTACATCACAAAATCATACTTCAGCCGATGAAACAGCCACTTCTGCCAACGCCAAAGCCTCTGGACATAACGATGCCGGGCAATCCGCAAAGCTCCTATACATCAGGCGCAAATCCAATTCCACCACCTCAGCCAAGGCCATCCCCTCAACTCTACCCAGTATATCAATCGCTTTACGGGATGCCCCCATATCCGCTTCAGGTATCGTCGTTTTTTGAATTAAATACCTAATCAAAGTTGTTCAAAAGATGGGGCCGTTAAAAGCTAATTTGCAACTTTTAGTCGTATCCCATGCAATCGACTAGCCAAGTCTCACCGTACGAATATTTCCCCCACAACTTGCCTCCACCAACATTGAAGCAACCACAACTTTCGCGAACTGATGCCCAGTCTAGCTGGTCGCTCGAAGTGGAAAATTTCTTGAGCAAGAAACCGGTGAGGAACCGTCGTTTAATAAACATAACAATATCGGGTTTTTTTTCAGGCAATTCAATCTACTGACAATTACGAGGAGGTTGGAATGGACTTGGCTTCTCCGGTGTCGGCTGTTAATGTTGAAGAGGCGGAAGTTGTCGACGGACAAAGCGATCAACGAACAAAGCAACTCGATGAAGACGATGATCTCGAGAAGTTGAGAAAGGCTCTACTTGAACAGCAACAGGTGAGCAAAATGAGATTGAGAGTGACTGAATAAACCTCTTTGCACTGATTATAGTAAGATAGTGCTCATATACATTTTCAGAAGACCAAGACTTCTCGTCGGCAGGTTGTGCTATCACGAGACTGTTCACCGATTTCATCGAGGGAAAGAAAAGGTTGGAACTTTATTTTAAAACTAAATACCTTTTTGTTTAGACCGATCGGCAGACAAATTTTCACGTAAGAGCCGATCATCAACATCGAGGCAACTGAAGGAGCTAAAGGTTTTTGATTTTCCTTTATGACAACTTGGATTGTATAGAAAGAATTGGCCGATGTCAGGGAATCTATTGATGACAGCGAGAAGAAGATGGATGAGTACTCGCATCGTTACGAGAACTTGAAGGTGAGGAGAATTCTAGAATTTGAAAAGTTTGTCCTTTTTAGAAGGAATTGCAACGAACGCTCACTGCCATTCGAACGGAACAGAAGAATTTGCAAGAACACCTCGAACACCAAATGGAATTGGCACTAAAGTACGAGATGATGGAAATTAACTTAAAGGTGTGGTTTTATACAACTTGGAACGAAATGGCAACCTATGAAATGCAAGTGTTGGCAAAACTTTAAAACTTGCCTAAATTGCCTTAATCAAATATTTTAGCAAAGCGAATTGACGAAGAAGCGACGAGACAAGAGCCTGGAGCAAGATTGTGCTAACGAGCTGGCCGTTACAAACGACATCATCCGTCGATGCCGAAACGTCGATGAAAAGCTAAGAACAAAGGTGAGCGCTTCAGTGGTATCTAGCAAAGTTGCTGGAATTATGTTTCGATTTGGAAAAAGTTTGAAATTCAGGAGAACAATCTGGCGCTTCTCACTGTAACCCGTCAACCATCACCACCAATTGAAGAAAACGGAAATGAAGGTCTAGTTCCGGAGAAAGAGGTCGACGTGATGAAGACATCGAGAAAGCGCTTAAATGTGGAGAAAGAGGTTAAATAGTTTGTTTTTCTTAGACTGTCATATTTAGGCACCAGTGAAGCCAAAGATGACGAGAAACGAGCCGGCAGTTGTTGCGCCGAAACCAATGGTCATCACGACGATTTCGAGTTCTTCAGCTGAAACGACTCTAGAGGTGAGTTTGAGAGTTTGCTTCAGCGATCATAATTATTCATATTTTTAGGAAAATCGCGCTAATGAGCGACCAATGCTCCAACTGCCTCAAATTTCGACCGCAAAAGCTTTAACAACTGCTTTAAAGACGACTGTGCGAAAGGAAAACCCGCGATCGTTCCCCCACAAATCGGCTCATCTTTATGCGGCTGCTAATTCCTATTTGTGAGTTTTATTTTTTTCGCTTTTATCTCTCAATTTAGTCCCCCAACGCTCCCGGAGCCCGGCTACATTGCTAGAGCCGAACGCTATAAATGGACTGAAGTGCGTACTGCAGGCGCATATGGAATTGGACTTCGCGTTCCCCCAGGCACAAAGGTATGTTTTAAAGAGCGAACAGGCAAAATTAAAATCATGGTCTTCATACATTAAATATAGCCCTTTCCCTGAATCGTGGTCTTTTGCGATTTTTTGTTTTGTTACCAAAAAGTCTTTTGAAATTGTTTTAATGTATTTTATTAAGTTCCACATGCACCAGTTTATTTGAGCAGAATTTAAAGAACAATCCTAGGGAAGGGGATAAGCGCACAGAATTCCTCGTGGTTTCAACAGGATATCGTCAAGTTGGCAAGGATGTATGTCTTGACTGTATGTGAAGACCAGCTTCACAAACATTTGCGTGTCCGAAGAAACGCAAGGCGTGCCAAGCCTTGCGTTTTGCTGGGATGCTAAAATTGTTGTTCTTGCGATTCTTCTTTAAATTCTGATCAAATGAACTGGTGCATGTGGAACTTAATAAAACACGTTAAAACAATTTGAAAAGGCTTTTTGGTAAAAAAAAAAACAAAAAAAATTGCAAAAGCCCACGATCCAGGGAAAGAGCCTTAAATATTTTAGCAAATGCCAAAGCAAACCAGCAATGAACCCTTTGTGGATGCTCAATCCGTGGAAAAAGTGGTTACTCCTGTGCAACAGGTTGTTTTACTCGTAACACAAATTATTTGACGATTTTAGAAAACGACGATTGAACACGTGCAAGTGGTTGTCAATCAGGAAACTGAGGATCGTCCACGTCCACAAACGTCGAATGAGGAAAACGATGGTGATGCTATCGAGCTCTCGTCAAACTCGGAACAACAAAATACGGAAGAATCTGGTACGAGTTTTGCCGTTAAATATTATTGTTTACCAAAGTCGTCTCCACTGTTGCCGAAACGTTCTAAATTATTATGAATTATTTGATATCTACATCTATAAGCTCGCTATTTTAGAACATCAAATGGACGAAAATGAGGCGCTTGACGAAGATGCTCTACGACAAAAGCTGCTTGCAAGAATCAAAGAGGGGAAAATGATCGTTGAACCGGATCGAAGGTTTTTAAAAACTTTACTCTAAATTTATTTGCTTTAGTGCACCACTTATCACAAGTGTAGCCATTGACGATGAATGGGAGCCAGAGGGTGCTCCACAAGTCGTTTACGAACCGAGATCGCCCAGCTATAATATGGATGATGAGTAAGCATTAAGATGTTATAATGGTTATTACCCAACGATTACAGTTACCTAACGCTTGATCGTTTCAAGTTTGATTGTAACGTTTTGTGATTTAGGTCACCTATGGAAAATCCACTGGTGGTGAAGCCGATGCAACAAGAAGGATTAGTCAACGAGCCGGTGTCTCGAAACGACGACTATCGATCACAATCACCAGATTATGTGCCGGAGGGGTAAATTTTAGCTATGACCAATAAGTGGTAAAAGAATATGTAGCTATGTCTACGAGCCCATATCTCCGAATTACGGCATCGATCATACAGAAAATGAAATCACAAGTCATCCGTTGAACAACATCGATGAGAGATCGGAGTCTTCTAGATTTGAAAAGTAAGTGCTAATAAGTCTCTGCTTGTATCGTAGTATACGTTTTAGTGATTCCATCAGCCAGATGCAAAACGGTGACAAAGCTGCTGCTAACCGTGGTCATGTTGAGCCAAATGCTACGCTTAAAAGGTAAGTCACTGAAAAGTTAATGCTTTATAAAAAATTTTAGGAAAACCAACTTGCGACGACGCTCACGAGGCGTTGAAAACGAGCCGGTTGAAGTGCCATCGACGTCTGTTAACACGCCAAATCAACTTCTCAACGCCAATGTGCCACTCTGTAGTAGTGAGCTACTCTACGGTCAATGCATAGAGACAAACTGCAGAATGTTGGTCTTTAGCTAAATCTAGTAATGTTGCGCTTTAGGCAGCACTTTGACAACCCAGCTTTCGCCCACAGAGAACCCGAGCCGCCCAACGAACCCAAAGAGAAGCCTAAAAGTTTGTTGCGTGCTGTGGCTTATCTTGTGGTTTCAGAGAAAGTACCTCGGGTTTATCACGGCGAGGATGCGATGGTGGCCGAGTTTGTGCGTGGAGTGTTTGCTGGGATGCCAAAAGTGTATCCAGTTGGCTACATAGGTTTGATTCAATTTTTGCTATTCTCGTATGTTTAAGTTGATTTAGAAGCCGGCATCACTGCCATGAACAAGAGGTGGAAAGCTGAGAAGGTCCGTGGCAACACATTTGAAGAGTTCAAACCAATTATTACGAAGCTGATCGATCAAATTACAAAGAAACAACAAAAGGGTTTTGTTTTGCTTGAAATTAGCTTAAATTTAGGTAACCACTGCTTCTATTCTGCATTTAGATGACTCCGCACAAAAAGAGCCAACTGCCGAGAAGCGCACGGTTTTGAATAAGGATCCGAAATGTATCTAAACTTGTGTTTTTCCGTTTTGTAATCAGTTTTAGTGGGAGTGCCCGATTACGTAAGCCGTTTCAACTTCTAAGCATCAACAACCCAAATTATTTTTGCACAGGTAAGTTTCACCTTTTTACTACTAAAAATCTGATTCAGAGAACTTGCTCAACTCAAATTACTTGACTAAAATTTAGTATTTTCATTGTTTTTTGTCTAGTCATTAGTCTAGCCATTGTTATCTTTTTGCCCAAAGACCTTTCACCTCTCGATTATCGCCTTATTCCTTCGGGTCTTTTCGTTTCGTTTTGTCTTTTTTTTTTTTGTATAGCTTAGATAAGCTTCAACACTTTGCCCGATTTGTGATTTAATGATTTTACAGGTTTCAGTTTTGATTGCCACGGCAGTCAAGAAATTATTTACAATGGTTCACTTTGTTTTAATAAACTATTTGTTTGCATTGGTCGATTTAAAGCGCAACGGTTATGACACCAAAGACAAGTGTATTTTGATCGATTTGAAAGTGCAATTCAAAAAAGGGCGTTCTGCCTAAAATTTTGTGCGGATTGTACTAATGATCAGTGTTTTGATCTCTAAATTGTACTATGGTTATTATCTGGCATTCTCGTTGAATTAGTTTTGACAATTTTGATATTGCCACGTGTTGTTTACACATTCACGCCTTTTTCCACGATGAAAAGACAATTGAAAAGTAGATTTTGGAGAGAAATTTGTGGTGATGAAATGCGCGAAGTGTCAACAGAGAAATGACTCAAGTTTTTGTTCCATGAAAACAAACAACAAACACTTTTTCACAAAATAACTGTATCTGGGATAGCATTTTGGCATTTTTCGGCTCTCCTGTTTTTTTAAAGATTTTGAAAGTTTTGATTGACTCCTTTCGGTACTAGAAATCGTTTCTACTCAAAAGGCTCATTAAAAATTCAAGTTTTGCTTTCAATTTGCTGTTTTGCCCGTTCAAGATTTTCAAAACTTCCTTATTTTTCATTTTTAAGCTTCCGAAGCAAAATTTTGATCACAAACATGTTTATAAGTACCCCAAAAATGATTAAGCAATTCGCATGTGCAAAACTAGTTGTCACCATTGTTTTGTTGCCACTTTCCCTCACATCTTTTGCACGCCTTTTTGGGTCGAAAAGCGCTTTTTACGTGTTGTAGAGTGAATTTATAACCTGATGGGAAAGTCGCCAACAAAGTCCATTCTTTTTCGTTTCTTATGATTCGATTGATTCTTAAATACATCAATTCTTTCAGAGCAGAAATCGCACTTTATTTCAGGTCCTGAATAAAGTATCTATATAAATGCGCCCGAACTCACGAAAACGAGCCGCCTCTGGACCCGATGGAACCGTGTTTGCGAAGAAACCATTGTTAAAAGGTCGGTTTGATATTTGTGGGTAAACTGATAAGATCTAAGCATGTTGGGTATTGGCTAACTATTTCATTTAGCATTCTTTGTTTAGTTTTGGAGAAATTTGGAGCATTCAAAAGCTTGATCTTGTAAATCTTCTTTTTTTGCAAACACCTGCAAAAAAACTGCTTGATAAAAAATAAATCAAAAAGATATAAAAGTTATTCAAGCCTCAAATCTGGATGTTTTACAACCGTGTAATACAATTTTTAGATGAACCACTGCCACTTGCTCTTCGTGAGGCGGCCCCATACCACGACGAGGAAGCGGCGATCGCTGAAAGGAATCGAGTCGACTACTCGAAAAAGGTAAACTGTTATATTCATACTTAAATTCATTTAGATTTTAGGTTACTTTGGAAGTCGCTCAAGCAAATCAAGCTGGCCGACCGATTCGCGTGTACGCTGACGGAATCTACGATCTTTTTCACTATGGACACGCAAATCAGTTGAAACAGGTAGACTCGTGAATAAAGTTTTTAAAGCTATGAAGTTTAGGCCAAGAACGCCTTCCCTAATGTTTACCTCATTGTCGGCGTTTGTGGAGACGCGAACACGCACAAGCATAAGGTTTGTTGGGTATTTGAGGGAGACACTGTAACTTGGCTAATACTAAAACATACTATTGTAAAATTCATTAAATCTCTTAGGGTCGCACCGTCACTAATGAAGACGAGAGGTACGAGGCTGTGCGTCATTGTCGATACGTGGATGAGGTGATCCGGGATGCTCCATGGTATTGTACAGTCGAGTTCCTCAAGGAAATGAAGGTAGTGATTGCAAAGCTGTTACAAAAGTTAATAAGTCTTGGAATGACTTTGAATTGTTCCTATTTCAAATGAATGGACCCAATTTTAACCGACTATTGCTTTAACTATTAAAAAAACTTTTTTAGGTCGACTTCATTGCCCACGACGCAATTCCATATGAAGCGTGTGGTGAAGAGGATATCTACGAGAAATTCCGACAAGCTGGCATGTTTGTCGAGACGCAAAGGTCAGCTCAGTTTATTAGAATCATTTGATTGTTTAAAACATCTACCCTGCTTTATGAAGCTGATATTAATCCATTACTTTAAGAGATGTTTCTTGTTTAGGACTGAGGGTGTTTCCACTTCGGATGTCGTTTGCCGGATCATCAAGGACTATGACAAATATGTGCGCCGGAACTTGCAGCGGGGCTATTCGGCCGAAGAGCTCAACGTCGGCTTCTTAGCGTCACAAAAGTACAAGATTCAGGTAAGGAGATTGTCTAAATAAATTTATTCTTTTATTTAGGAAAAAGTCGACGGCTTGAAGGAGAAAGGATTGGAGTTGGTGGCAAAATGGCGGGCAAAGTCCGACGATTTCATCAGGGGTTTCCTCGGAACGTTTCACATAGATGGTCAACTGTCACTTGGAGATCGGTGAGGATTTGGCTATAAGCATCTTAAAACTAAAATAGATTAGGTAGATAATGTTACTATGGCTAGCTTTTAGAATTTTTAGTTTAAAATTTTTAAATGTACACTGATTGCCAATTTTAGAATTCGTCACATCATGTCCCGAAGTCCATCACCACAACCCGAAGGCTCGGAGGGCGGACATTCGAATAGCTTCTAAAGTTAAAAAATTATCTTTCATCTGCCAGTTTCTGTCGTGTCTTTATAGCCTTTCCGTCTAGTTAATCCTTTACTCTATAGTTAGTACGACCGATTTCTATACACACCCCCTCCCGTGGCCCTTTTAAAGTGGTGAGGGGATCAATTTCGGAAAACATCTTCTAATCGGTCGTTCCACTTTTCGTGTGTCAGCTTTTTGCATTAAAATTCCCGTATTTAATATTTCTCTAGCACTTCCCTTAATAATTTTCTCTTCTAAAACCGTTCGCTTATTGCATTCCAGTGAGACAGTACTTGCGCCATTTTCATTGCCATGTGTCTATTTTTGTTACCGGTAGTTTTTTGTTTTCTTTCGCGATTCGTTAGAAAGTTTTTGAATTTTACTTTGGCTGGTTCCTGATGTCTCTAGGTGCAATAATTATTACAATTAATAAAGGTTTACACAGGGTTTTCAAGAGAAAAGTTACGATTCTATGCGATTCGGATCTTTGCGGATGTTGAAATACGGGACACACATTAAATTTTGTTACTAAACAAGTTAATGAACGCGAAAAATGTAATATACTTGTGTTTGCAAGTCTAGTATGACATTGGCATTTAGTATCTAAAGAGTTCATTGAAATTTTCGAGATTGTGAAATTTTTCTTTAGCATCTTTCATTTTCCTCAAACGCTTTTGTAACAAAGTCGATCTAAAATTTTCAGAACGGACTCAGAAATTCCAAACAAAATCTCTGGGGCATTTTTTGTGACGTAAACCAAAGTCATCAATATGTAGTACGCACGCTACTAACTTTAATGTTTTTGTTTAAAAAACAGTTTTCCGGCACCTTAAATATTTTTTATGTGTGGCGTGTCCATTAGGTCCATAATAAAGCCTATTTGGCCTCTCCCTGTTTTAATGCTGCGAATGCAAACTATTAAAACTTTACCCATTTCTTTCGTTCACTTGCTTTTTTTTCGATTGAGCAATGTTGTACTTCAAATATTTTTTCAAGTTTAGAATGCACTCGGTGACGATTCCCGGCTCGCTCGTCAACAAGGCGAAGAAGCACTTCTTGGGGATGCCGGCACCAATGGGCTATGTTCCCGGAGTGGGTAGAGGTGCGTTTGATTCAGACTTTAAAAAACTAGACCTGCTTTAAATATCATTTTCCTCTTTTTAGGTGCCACCGGTTTTACGACCCGATCTGATATCGGTCCGGCTCGAGAAGCGGTGCCCGGCGAGGGTGAAGCGACCGTCGGGCCCGCTGGCCCACCACCAGCCAAACAGGGAAAGGTAAATTTTAGCCAGTTTTATTCTATTCGGTTACATCCCGAATCAAAGCTCATTTAATTTCAAAGTATCATAAGCGTCTTTCTTTAGGCTATAATCATTTTACAAAAGTTAATTGCTATTGGTGATTTTAGGAAGAACGAGACGAGGCTGAGGATCTAAATGACGCGAACTACGATGAATTTGAGGGATACTCGGGCTCGTTGTTCTCTCGAATGGACCCATACGATAAAGGCATTCAGATACAAGAAACCTCAGCTCAATACATTTTTTAGATGACGAAGAAGCCGACGAAATCTACCACCAAGTCGACATGCGACAAGACGAAAAGCGAAAGGACTATCGGTATTTGAAATAAACAAACTTTCATGAAATATCAATTTTAGCGAGAAGAAATACGCGGAGGCGATCGCCAAATTTCGTATGGAACGCCCAAAGATTCAGCAAGAGTTCTCCGATCTTAAGCGGCAACTGGCTGATGTAAGTGCAAAAGTTTGAGGACATTTTTCACATTGAAGTTTACAACTTTTGTTAATGATTTTTTAGGTCACAGAAGAAGAATGGTCCGCGATTCCAGAAGTCGGTGATGCGAGAAACAAAGCAAAGCGCAATCCCCGTGCCGAGCGGTCAGTTTTCTTTGGTTTTGAAGCTAACCACTTATAATTTGAAACTTCTGCTGCTCTTATAGATCTTTCCCTAGTTAGTTTTGAGCCAAGAACACAAGTGTATAGGAAATTTTCAGCTATTAGCTTCGTCTATAAGCTTAGTCTTCAAATCAAACATTAACCCACCTACAATAAATCTTTTCTTTTAGCTTCACTCCCGTGCCCGACTCTGTCCTTCAGAATGCAATGAACATCGGAGCGTCGTCGAACGTTTTAGACGATCGAGTGAGTTGCGTGAAAAATTCCAAAAAGATACAGCAAATCACAAAAAAAGCCAGTCACAAGTTTATCGCATATTCAAAATGTTTACAATGATGCACGCAAAAAGGTTATTTGAGTGAACCTTCCATTAAGAGTCAATACACATGAGGCAAGTAGTTTTCTCGTGGAGCGAAGTGAAGTAATTCTGAAAAATCTAAAAAGAAAATTGAAAGTGAGATTTTAGATTTTTAAAAAAATCGGTAGCACAAACCCACCTAGTACTTGCTGCGACGAAGGGGCACCGCCAGAGGCCGAGTTGCCAATGCTGATGGAGCTGGCTAAAAATAGAAGTTCATAAAGTTGTAGATACATCACCAAAGCCCCACCCGTGCAATCATCCGACTGTTGTCGTTCTCACTGTTCAGCGTGGCGTTTCGCTCTTTCTCTAATTCATTGTCGACGAGTCGCGCATCTCATCGGCCCACTTCTTCCATATCGTCCTCGTCGTCGAATTCCCTGAGAAAACTGCACTCGGCCATCGCATTCTCCAAGTCATTGCTCTCGTCCGACGAGCCGCTTAAAGGGCGTGTCAGCGTCTCCAAGAATTTTCGCTTCTTCCGTTCGTTCAAGCGCCTCTCTAAAAAAGAAAATTGTGATGTGTTGGAGCAAAGCCGTACCTTTTTATTTCGATCGAAGACGGCCATTTCTACCTTGACAATAATGCGTTTCTCCTTCTTTGAGGAAAATCTAAAGTTAAAGTAAGTTCCCGTAAAGTCGCGGTCGCTTCGCTCACCCGAGCCGTGACTTTCAGCCAGTAGACGACATTCGGCGCATCGTTTTTCTCGCTCGGTCCAAGCACTTGCACGCATGATGCTTAGAATAACTTAAAGTATGTGATTAGTTTTTAGAAATACCAAGCACACACCCTTTCCTCCGATTTCTTCAGCAATTCCGGGTAGATCCTTTTCATCATCCATCGAGCGAGGTTGCTGAGTTGATTCGTCGAGACACACGCAATCGCCCCGCCACGATCTAAAAACGATGGTGCACACGGTAAACTCCTATACCAGGTTGCTTGTGATGACTGTGCGAGTCGAAGAGCGCTACTGCGTTCGTCTCTCGTTGAAAAGCGATGAAGACGGCTCGCTTGACGGCAATGACGATGAAGTAGAGTATTCATGTGGGCAAAATGGGGCTAAAGTGAAAAATTTGAGAAGCATTCATAAGCACCGTTAAAGTTTTTACAGTTTAAGCCTCAACAACCAAGTATGCACATTGTAAACAAATAAACTGGTACCTTTTGGTAGCAACTCGTAACGTTACGGGAAACTTCGGCTCAAAAGGCGTCTAAAAGCATAAATTTTCCCTCGAAAAGAAAATCGAAAGTTGCCTCAACCAGCGCATAGTCGATCTCGTGATTTTGTCTATGGTAGCAGCGTTGAATTTCGTGGATCGCCTCCGGTATCGTGAAAATGTCCCTATTCTTCTCTTTATTGGTCGGTTTCCCTTCCTCGCTCGTTTTCTTCTTCGAATTTGTCTTCTCGGCGTCTTTCGATGCCTCAGCAGCAGCCACTCTAAAAATCACAGTATGATATAACCAAATTTGCTCGCACACCTTTCTATGTCCCGGTTTTTCATCGCGCTCTCGTGCGTGATGTTGCCATTGATGATCCCGTTAGTAAACAATCGGAGAAGATCCTCGGAAAGGCAAAGATACTAAACACGATACTATAGTTAGTGTACTAGGGTCGAACATTTTACAAGAAACTAGATTAACAGGTAAAAACATGCATCGTTTCTGGCGCGAATTTCATCATTCGGCAAGCTTTCTTTTAGCGAATGGAAGAGCATCCACTTCTTGTCCTCGTCACGGTAGGAAGTGTGATGTTGAATTTGAAAAAACAAACATTGCGAATAAAAATACAGATTCTCTCGTCTATCTTTAAAGCTGTAGAAGGTTTACAAACCTATGACACAAATCGGCAACGTTAATGGCAATGATGGTACACGCGTTCGACGGGGTCTCTCGATCGCCGAGCTGCGATTGCGACATGTTCAGCGTCATCATCCACGAGAGCACCGCTTCGCTGGTCTAAAGAAAAAGATTTAGTAAACGACAAAATTTTGATTAAAGCTACAAATTTTAATTGACATTTCTGCAGTTGTAATAGTACGTTCTAGTAAGCAAAAATCCTCACCTCATCATTTTCGGCACGATGCAGCATCCGCGGCGCTCTTTTGCTAATAGATTGATAGTTCTTCTTGTAGGACATTTGCGATCGCGACTAGTGGTGGGGAAAGTTGTCGATGAGTGGAACAATAATATGGCTCATCACATCGTTTAGTTCCTTTTATTTGAGGATTAAATCTAAAACATGGAGGATCCTAAGTAAAGTTACTTGATATGGTAATTTGGGCAGTAATCAAAATAGTCTATTGAACAGTAAAAGAGTTTTATTTATATTTTATTTTATTATATTTGGTTGTTTCAGGTACAATCGGGCTTCATGACACCACTCGGCTCCGGTTTGATGTCGACGATTCAAGGCGGCACGGCAAGCAGCATTTTGGGACCCGGAATGATGAGCACTCTTGGTGAGCGTGTTTGAAGTAGTTTCTTAAAACTTATATAGCTGTCATTGTTGTCATAAAATCAGTGTGCGTCTTAAAATTATAAATATTTCCTTTTTGAGGCGGACTTCTCACCCCGGGCACACGATCTGGCATCAAAACGGGCGCCTCCGCAACACTTGATCTGAACAAAATTGGACAAGCCCGTAACAAGATCATGGACATCAAACTGAATCAGGTATTTGTTTTACGTTTGAAAGTTGAATGATTCAGAATTCTTGCGAAGCAAGAAAATTTATTAAAACTTTAATATAAATATGACAACCCTTACAAAGTCTACTTTTAGGTTTCCGACTCGGTGAGCGGACAAACAAACGTCGATCCAAAGGGTTACCTCACCGATCTCCAATCGATGATTCCACAACACGGCAGCGATATAAATGACGTAAAGAAGGTAAAATAAAATATGGTTTACATTTCTAACACTTTTATTTAGGCACGAATGTTGCTGAAGAGTGTGCGGCAAACGAATCCCCGGCATCCGCCTGCTTGGATCGCGTCGGCTCGTTTGGAAGAAGTCGTCGGAAAGTTGCAGGTCAGTTTTGAAAGATAATATTTAACATTTCCTAAGTCATTTATAAATACATCTTTTTAGGTGGCGAGAAATCTCATTATGGAGGGATGCGACAATAATAAGGACAACGAGGATATTTGGCTAGAAGCTGTTCGGTAAGGGTTTTTATTTTTAAAACAAGCGCCTAAAAACATCAAATGCTAAATTATTAAATCCCTAACCTTTTAACTTTTCAGACTCCACCCACCAGATGTCGGCAAGTCAATCGTTGCCACTGGTTTGTCACATTCTTTTTATCATAAATTTTTGAACTTTAGCTGTTGGTCATATGCCGAATTCGGTCCGCATTTGGATGAAGGCCGCCGACTTGGAGATCGATGAGAGAGCGAAGAAAAAGGTACACATTTATGCATTTTATGAATGGGCAACTGATCAAGAAAGAAAACTTTGAGTTGCCCAACCTTATCTTAGGTTTTCTCTTTGACTTTTAACGACCATCCATCCGTTATACTTTTCAGGTATTCCGCAAAGCCCTTGAACAAATCCCGACCTCGGTCAAGTTGTGGAAAGCGGCCGTATCACTTGAAGCGCCTGAAGATGCGCGAATTCTCCTCACTCGTGCCGTCGAATGTTGCAGGTATGTAAATTTCTTGATTAAAATTTTTGTTTTTAGTGCAAGCACTGAGTTGTGGCTGGCCCTGGCACGTCTTGAGTCGTATGATAACGCTAGAAAGGTGAGCTAACTTTAGATTTGTCAACAACTGAAAGGTGCTGAACATGCCTTTTATTTAGGTGCTGAACAAGGCTCGGCAACACATCCCCACTGAGCGCCAAATCTGGTTGTCGGCTGCTCGATTGGAAGAAACAAGAGGACAAAAGGATATGGTTGAACGAATCGTTTCAAAGGTATTTTATCTGAAGCATTTCTTTGACCTACTCAAAAACTTAAGGCTCTCACTTCACTGCGGGCCAACGCTGTCGAAATCAATCGCGATCACTGGCTGAAAGATGCGGTCGATGCGGAACGTGCCGGATGTGCGATGACTTCGCAAGCTATTATGTAAGTTAATGTAAACAGATAAATGTAGATGATACAGTAGATTAAACAATAGTGTAAATGAACCAAAAAGATTTCACGTTTCAATTTAGCAAATCGATTCTTGGATATGGTATTGAAGATGAGGACAAGAAAGCTACGTGGCTTGAAGATGCGAAGAATTTCTCCGATCAAGGAGCTTTCATTTGTGCTAGGTAACGAGATTCTAGTTGGAGTATTTATAAAACGTAACTTTAGAGCCGTTTTCGCTTATGCATTGGGCGAGATGCCGAATCGTCGCAGTCTTTGGCATGCAGCTGTTGTTTTTGAGAAAGATCACGGAACTCCGTAAGTTTAAAACAAAGTCAGATCCTGAAATGTTAGGTCTGGTGGCTAGATTTAGTTTTACCCATGAACATGAACCTAAAAATTTATCTTGATGTTTTTGCTTTTAGAGATGACTACGAAGAAATGCTGAAGCAAGCCTGCGAGAAAGCGCCACAAAGCGAGGAATTCTGGCTGAGACACGCGAAGAGTCGTTGGTTGAGAGGACACGTCGAGGACGCCCGCGGCATCTTGGCTAAGGTACGGTTTTTGTGCGTGCTTTGCGGGAAATGTGTTGTGGCAATAAATCTTTTAGTAACTTTGATATAATGTCTGTTGATGATGTAATTGTAATGTTGTAGTTGTTGTTTGCTTATATAATTGTAAAAATCTGATGATCAATCATGCAATTGTATTCGTACCTTAGTTTACGTTCAAAATAGGAATAGAGTTGTCCAATAGTTTTTTTTTGCTAAAATAAATTTCACACTTTAGGCATTCGAGCACAACCCGAACTCGGAACAAATTTGGATGGCCGCCGTTAAATTGGAATCGGAAAACAATCACTTCGAACGGGCTCGTCGGTTGTTAGAAAGGTAGGAAAAGTTTACGTGTGTATTGATGTAGATATGAGTTTAATACGTGCTGTTCAAAATTTAACTAAATTTTCCACTTTAGAGCTCGAGGCAAGGCTCCATCGGCGCGAATCTGGATGAAATCTGCGCATCTCGAGTGGTGCCTCGGAGAGACCGACAAAGCTTTGATGTTGCTGAAAGAGGGCATTGAGAAGTGGGTTTATGTTTGAATATGAATATTTACCTATCAAAAGGAGCCTTAATTGTTAAATATTCTTTTTAGATACTCGGATTTCTCTAAATTTTATATGATGATTGGTCAAATCTACGCACAAACGCAGAATTATAATGAAGCTCGCAAGATTTACACTGAAGGAGTAAGTGATTGAGTAAATTGTGTAAATGTAGATTGATATTAACTTTAAACAATGGTAAACTTTTTGATACAATAATAGAATTGATAGAACAAACAATGATATAATTTGTATATTTCAATGATTCCTGTTTTAGGTAAAGAAATGCCCACACGCCATCCCGATTTGGATTCTTTTGTCGCGCTTGGAGGAGTCACAAAATCAAGTGGTCAAGGCAAGAAGTGATTTGGAGAAAGCCAGGAATAGGTAATTTTAATTAATGGCTTGATTCATTGCAAAAATTTCTTTAGGAACCCTCGCAACGAAGACTTGTGGCTTGAGTCGGTTCGCATCGAGACACGCGCCGGTTTGAAAGAGTTGGCTAGGGAGAGAATGGCTCGAGCGCTTCAGGTAAATGTTTATATTATAGCATTGAATAGCAGAGTTAGTGCTGGTTTCAGTACTTCAGTACAATTTGCAGTAGTATAGCACCTATCTTAATGTATCCAATGAAAATAGTTAAACTTCATGTTCAGGAATGCGAGCAATCGGGTCGACTTTGGGCGGAAGCCGTTTGGATGGAGGAACGCCACGGGCGGAAACAAAAATCATTGGACGGGTTGAAGAAATGCAACCACTCTTCGGATATGCTTGTTGCGACCGCCAAATTGCTTTGGTCGGAGAGGAAGATGAAAAAGGTGAGCACATTTTTAAGCACAGCCTAATATCAAACCAGATTCCAACTCCATTCGTTAACGTATGAGCCAAAACCAAAAACTTAACAAATTTAATATTGTGGATGTCTTTTCAAAGCTTTGCTGCTAGAATATTTATTTCTATTTTTTCAATCACTAGTTTCCCATAATTAGGGCTCGATCTAAGCACGGTTTCTGTAGTATCCCTGTTGTTGGTTGTTGTTGGCGATGTCAGCGGTTCTGAAATGTTTTAGTAAGTAAAATAAGCTTGAAAAAAATTCTTAAGTGAAATCTTAGATTTATCAGCTTCCATCTTGATAATACCTAGTTGTCTTGGAAGTTCGAAAACTTTTTCCCACCTTGGTGGGCATGGACAATAGGCGGCATCAGGTCCGGGAGTTCCATCAGTTCCGGGTCCTCCGGCTTGTCCGTCAGCTCCTGGTTGGCCATCGTTTCCGGGTTGTCCGGCTGGTCCTTGTTGTCCGTCGTTTCCGGGTTGTCCGTCTTGTCCTTTCTGTCCGGGTTGTCCAGCGGGTCCAGCTGGTCCCTTAGGTCCGGGTCCTCCTGGAGCTCCCTTTCCGCGGGTTCCTGAAAATTTTCCTCATGTAAGTTCAAGCTTCAAGTAAGATGCTTCCAAATAGTAATTACTTGTTCAGCGAATACTCAGTCATCTTATCAAATTCTTCTTCACCCACCGTTTTGTCCGGGTCCTCCTGGGGCTCCTGGGTTTCCGGGTCCTCCGTTTGCTCCGGCATCTCCGGCTGGTCCAGCCTCTCCTGGTTGTCCATCTTGTCCCTTGTCTCCATCGGGTCCGGGTTGTCCGTCATTTCCGGCGGGTCCAGCTGGTCCATCGGGTCCGGGTGGTCCAGCGGGTCCAGCTGGGCACTTGATGCAATCCTTAGGCAAGGTATCCTTGAGTTGTTGGATTCCGTGCTCTCCGGAGTTTCCGGCTTGTCCTGGGGCTCCATCGTCTCCAGGGGCTCCGGGCTCTCCCTTGGGTCCAGGTGGTCCGGCTGGGCAGTTGGCTGGCTGAGCTCCACACTTGCACTCGGCACCGGATCTCTTGTGACGGCCGAAGATCGAGTTGAAGTTGTTGCGGTTGACGGCGTTCGTTGGGGCGTTTGTGACGACCATATCGGACCAGGCCGAGTTCGAGTAGGCGTTGAATTCCTGGAAGATTTGGCTGTTTAGAGATTTTCTTGTTGTCAGAGCCAGTTTCAACGTGTAAAATAGTTAAATTTGTAGTTATTCTGGTAATAATCAGATTCTTACTTGAACATCTAGCATAGCGTCATCGTAGAATTGGTTGATGTCGTTGAAGAGGAACAACAGCGAGACGATCGCCGCCACCAAAGTGGCTCCCGAGGCAACGGTGGTCAAAGTGACGAATAATTTGGCGCTCATCTTGACAACGACCTAAATTTCATAGATAAATATAAAAGTTTTACCTTACTTTTAACAACTATCTCTTGGAAATGATTGGAAACTTTGAAATAACTAGTAGTAAGCTAATTTGGATATTTTGACTACTTATCAATAAATAAATCAATACAAAACTGAAGTAAAGCCCTTTTCTCGAAAATCGGCCTACCTTTGAAGTGGTGATACTCCTCAAATCGTGCTGTCGAACTCGCCGCTTTCACTTCCTTTTATACCATGCTTGATGGGATTGAAAAGGGGGAAAGGCGGGGAAAAGACAATGAAAACCGATTTTTCCCTTTCCATTTTGAGGCTTCACCTTTTTGCCGATTCGGTGCCTCTCGGCGTTTTTTGTAAAATTCGCCTTGGAAGTTGTGCGTGTGTGCCGAAACCGACCATTTATTTGCCTCTTTGATGGCTCTGTTACAGTCTATTTCCACTCTGAGTACTCGAAATTGCCTTTGGGAATTCGAGTCCACTTCTCTTTTTGTGGCGCTACACAAGGGAAGACCTTGGAAGTGACCCCGGTGATGTATCGAAACTCGATCACAGACTTGCCACACCGATTGTCTTTTTTGTCTTTTCTTGCGTTTCCTTTCTTTTTTTCCCGAGTTTTCACTCCATTTGTGACAAGGGTTGCAACTCAATTAACATGGAAAAAAGCGGGGGTGATGGAGAGGGTAAAATGAAAAGAAAAACTGGCAAAAGTGACTGGCATTGTTGCAGAAAAACCCTCGAGAACGTGGTTGTGATATGACAATTTTTTTTGATAAAAAGGAACGTAGGAGGTTAAAATTTACTTTTTTATGCTTTTAGGAAGCTGAAACTGTAGTTTTAAGGGCTGATAAGTTAAATCAAATGAAATTTGTGGTGTAACTCAAATAGCAATCTTGTTGATAAGATCTAGGATTAGAATGGCATAGAAACCACATATCTAACACTTCAGTCAAATTGCTCAAACTAGTTGTTCAGAAAATGATTATAAACTTATTGTTTCCTCTTTCCAGGCTCGCGAATGGTTTGCTCGAGCGATCAACATCGATTTGGACAATGGTGACGCTTTTGCAACGTGGTACAAATTCGAGCTTTCCCATGGGACACCGGTGAGTTGATTTTTGATCCGATACTGATTTACTTTTGGAAGTATTTATGTTGAAATTTTGATCACTATTAAATAGTTTCAAGCGCCTTAAATTGACTGATAACTAATTTTTCAAATTTCAGGAAGAACAAGAGCGAGTGCTGAAGAAATGTACTGATGTCGAGCCGAGACATGGAGAGAAATGGGCTGAAATGAGCAAGGTGAGCTAAATTTGGAGATTTTATCTTGGCCTGACCCAGAAGTTGGCTTTAATTCTTGATCCTAGCTAACCAATCTTTTTTCAGGATGTGGCCAATTGGAAGAAGCGCCCCGAGGAGATTCTCAAGCAGCTCGCCACACAAATAGTCATCCCAACATAAGTTTTTTGATTGTTCGTTTTCCGATGTCCAATCATTTGTTTTTTATTATTCGGTCATTCTTTGTTTATTTATTGATATGTTCTTCGATGTTGAATAAATTTTATGATAACGACTGATAAATTGCCTTAGAAACGGAATCTCGAGATGTTGGGGGGAGGGGGGCATTTTTTCTTCAAAACCACTTTTTCTGGGGGTATTTTTCTCATTTGTGCTTTTTCTGGGATCTCAAGTTATAGCGAGTTGCGCAAACGACTCAGTTGCGCAAAAAAAGTTGCGGAAATTAGCCTACCCCAATTATTAAAACTCGAAATTATGAAAAGCATGAATGCTCAAAATTTGCGTTTAAAATGACAATTTCAAGTGTTTTTGGCAACGTAAAATGTCGATTTTTGATTGACAACCCATCTTAAAAATGCGATTTTTGGCATCAGCGCTATCGATTACTCCGAGAAAAGTGAAAACCTTGAAAAACAAGTGGGCCCCCAAGTGCACTAGTAACCGATTACTTAGCTAAAGTGAGATAAGCATTAGTTCTAACAAATTCTAAGATTAGTTCTAAGAGTAAGCAAGCTAAAAAATCAGTTTTACTAAAGAAAACAATTGCTTTACCGATAAATAAGTGTCCTAACCAAAGATTTGACTAAATCTTCAACTTCAAATGAAGTGACTTCAAAAGATGAAAACCTGCCCTTTAAAATGTTTAAATTTCAAGTAAAACGTTCCCGAACAAAGAAGAAACGAGCAAAAAATGATGGGAAATTTAATAATGCACCCAAGACACCGTACACGAGCGGCCTGAAGAGGAAATGATTTCAAAAAAGTGCACATCAAAAATTTCTCTCCGTGGTTTTACTCGTGGTCTGTTGCTCGTTTTTCTATTAAAATTCAATATCCGTAGATTAATTGAACAATTTTCACTCAAAACGAGGCGGTTGCTTGGTAGCCTTGATAGATTTGGCACATTTTCGTCAAAACGTATAGTTTCGCGCTCGCAAAAAATTGGCATCACATTTGCCGTTGTTTTTCGGGAAAATTGAAGTTCTGCGCAAAATTTGGGATTATTTAGGAGTAGTATCGCAATAGAAGTGTGCCCTTTTCATCAACCGTGTTGCACTTTTAGATTTATCGTTTCGTTGCCTCATTTTTATTTTTATACAATGTGTAAAGCTATTTCGATACTATGGGCTTTGGGGGAGAGGCATTTTTTTCCCCCAAAACCATTTTTCCTGGGGTAATTGATGACGCTGATCACGAAAAAGTTATTTTTAAGGCAAGTTAGTAGTGGAAAAGTGTTGTGTTGTGTGAAACCATCACGAATCGATTCAGCACAGTCAAAAACCCCTCGGTGCAAAGAATCAGCTCATTCGGACAAAAATTTTTTTTTGCCACCCTCCAACCATTATAGCACCTTGAGTTTTAAAAACCGACAATTTTCCACTGCTAACTTGTCTTAAAAATAACTTTTTCGTGATCAGCGTCATCAATTACCCCGGGAAAAATGGTTTTGGGGGAAAAAAGTGCCTCTCCTCCTCCCCCCCCTCCCCCAAATCCCATAGTACCGCTTTTTTTTTTAGATGGACGAAGAAATAAAGCCGATGGCAAGCCTGGAAACCGCACCGCCGCCGCTGAACACTGAGGAGCCGCTTGGGGAGGGAGTCGAAGGATTGCGTGATGAACAAGAAATGGAAGAAGGTAGCTTTGAGAAGTTCGGTTTAATCAGGGATATGAGAATAGGTTGTCTAGTCGTTCATGTTGTACTGTTTAGTTGTTTGTTGGAGAATTTAAGTCTTCAGTGAAACTATGTTTGTAGTAAATGGTGGGGTTTCAAAAGGTTTAACACTATAAATTCTTAAATATCTTAACCAACCTAATTGTTGATCTTTAGCGATCAAGAAGATCTAGTAAACTACCTAAAATTATTTGTACTTTAGAGCTCCTCAACCCACCTCAATCAAGTGACGCACAAGAAAAGGAACAACAAGCACAAATGGCTTCCGAAGAAAAGGCGAAACTTGGTAAGTTTCGATGGAATGTTTGATTTTAAGGTTCGACAATAAACTTTATGTTTTCTTTAGAGCAAATCGTCTTCAATCAAACACAAGAGCTGGACCAATTGCGACTTCAAATGAAATCAATCTCGTCACGGAATCAGGAGCTCACTAATCAGATTGCAAACTCAAGTATGTTTATTGCCGAAGTCTGTTAAATTTCTTTGTTTAGCCGCCGAAATCGCTTCTAAAGACAACAAATATCGTCTGATGGAGACGTCGCGCGATGATACCGCATTTAAAAAGGTATCAGATAGCTAAAACTTAAACAAGTAGCCGATAACGTGTGTTTAGATTCAATCCGACGAGGTGGCTGAGAAATACAAGCGCGAGAAGGAGGAACGCGACACTTTGGTCCGATCGATTACCCGTGAGAAGAATATGCTAAATGGTTGGTGTTTAAAAGCTGAAATTTATATTTTGTTGTGGTTTAGAGGAAATCGTGTCGGTCAAGGAGCGCCTGAAGAATGTGAACACCGAGAAGATGGAGCTGGTCGCCGAGAAGAAAGCCTGGGATCGGGAGAAGCGGGAAAATCAAGTGCGCATTTGTGAAATTTGTTGCTGTCGTAGCTTGCTTAACAAGTGATTGACGAACACTTGTAGTGTGACACGTTAACCGTTAGCATTTGTACTTTTTTTATTAGACAAAAGTCAAGAGTTCATATTGCAACTTTAACTTTGTCTTTAGTGTGAGCTTCAACGCGTTCGTGACGAGATCGCCGTGCTACGAGAAAGCAAGAAGTGGCTTCTCTCCGAGATCAACGAGCGTGATAACAAAGTTTCGCAGTTGAGGATTGATGCTGTGAGTTTGAACAAAGTAGCGGCTTCTGATTTTTGTTTTTTAGAGCAACAAGGAGATTGTGTGGCAAAACGAGAAAAACAATTTCTCCACGAAGGCCGATTTCCTCAACGAGCGCATCGTCGAACTGGAGGCCGAGTTGAAGAACGCCGAAGCGACAGCCGCCGAACAAACGAAGGAATTCAGGAAGGTAAAGCTAATCTCGTCGTAAAGTTATTAATATTCTGTTTTAGGCTCTCGATGTGCAAGAAAAGCGTGTGTTCGAGGCAGATTACGAGTTGACGCTGAGGGAGAAGATCACACAAGACTACAAGGATGCGCTCAACGAGGCAGAGGGGGTGATTGCCGAGTTGAAGTACGTTAACAGTATAAAGAAGAGCTTCATGTCTTTTTAGTCATTTACACTATGTACTAAGTCTAATGTTTAGGGCCAACTGCCAGCGTTACGAGTCAAGCATTGGCGAGTTGCACGAAGACATGAAGAATCTCCGGGAGGTCGTCCAAAAGAAGGAAGAAGACTACGAGAACGAACTGAAAGAACGGAGCACGCAAATTGCCGAGCTGCAAGACGAATTGGAGAAAGCGAACGAGTTGCTGAAGAGCCGTTATAGTGGTGGGTTTTAGTTGCCGGTATTGAGGTGCGATTACTCGCATAAATAAGAATGCCAAATGTGAAAGCATAAATTCTTTTCCTTTCCAGTTGGAGCTGCCACTGACGAAGAGTTACAGAAGATAGCTCCAGCCGCCGCTGCCGCCAGTCAACTCATTCGCTCCGGGATGACACTATCTCAACTTTACAGGTAGAACTTTGTCTAGTCTTTATACAATCCTAAGTGTGTAAATTTAGAGAATACGCACGTGTCATTGGCGAACTCGAAGAACAAAAAGTCCTTAATTTGCAATTGGACAATGAGATGAGCACGATCGTCGAAGAGATTGAAAGTGGGTTTTTGAGCTGCAGCAATGAATGCAAATTGTTTGTTTAGAAAATGCTCCTAATTGGAAACGACAGAAGGAACAGCTCGATCGATCGCTCACACACAATGATCATCTCACCGAACAACTCGAGAAAGCCGCTGATGAACGAATGTCGCTTTTACAACAGAAAGACTCGGCACTGCGCGAGTTGTCGTTCACAAAGATGGAACTCGAGCGCTTCCAACGAGAACATACAAAATTGAGAGAACAAGTGCGTTTTTACTAAAGTCACGATAATTCAGTAATTTTTAGACGACCCATCTCCTCTTTGTCATCGAAAGTGAAGCAAGAACATCGAATGGTGGCCCGCCACTTGGCGCAGATGAACAGCGACGAATGTACACATCGATCACCGGTCTCCAACAAAAGAACATCCAACTGCAGATGGAATTAGAAAATGTTCAGCGCGATTCACAAAAGAGAGTTGAAGATGCCGTTAGAATAGAGTAAGTTTCCCAAGATTTTGAATCTAGCGAATTTAAACGCGACTTGATCAAATGCTTTAGATCGGTTCGCCTCCGTGAAGAGCTTGAAACCTCGAAGAAGGAACACGAGAATTTGCAAGTGGCGATGAACCATCTGAAGACGGTGATGGCCAGTTTGGAACAGCAAAGAGACCGCCTCAGAGATCTCGTTGAAAAGGTGTGTTAGAGGTGTTTAACATTAATCGTTAACTACCTAACACCAAAAACATTCAATTCTTTTGTATGGCCATTCTTTTTTAGGGTTCGTTGGATCCCGAGGCCGCGCAACTACGCAAAGAAAACGAGGATATGAAACTGGAGCTCACGTCGATCAAAGCCCGGTATCAACTACTCGAGAATCGCCTCAAGGAACTTCAGGAGGCATCAACAACACAACAAAGGTATGAAAAGCAACCACAAAATAGAACAGAAAAATGAGCTGAACAATTTATCACATTCAATAACTCATTCGTCGTTTGACCCTCATCATTCGTCGGGAGTCGGCTTCGTGGTCGTGCTCGAGCTCGAGCTCGGCGCGGACTTCACACTGGGCGGTAGAGAGACGCTGACTTTCTAAAAGAAGAGTATTAGTTAAGAAAATAACTTCGGATAACCTTCGCTTTATGTATCACGTATGGGGTCGCCTTAAGCCACTCGGAGAGCTTGATCTGCTGGCAAGTGGGACGGGAGACCGGATGGGGGTGCAGGATCTCGTAGATCAACGTGCGCGCTTCGACCGAGAGGTCGACCGATCTAGGAAACCTAAACATTTAATTGGAAAAACTAATCCACAAAAAAACTTAAACCCACTTTACTTTGTGCTTCAACTGCGTGTCGATCATCTTTTGCACATTTCGCTCATCGTACGGCATCATTCCCGTCAACATCACAAACAGCACAACGCCAGAGCTCCAAATGTCAACCTAAATTTGCAAGATTAGTAGAATAGATGAGTAGATAACGACAAATAGGGTTTAAACACACCGTATGTCCTGAATACTCGACTGAGCGCAAAATCTCGGGGGCCACATAGGCGCGTGATCCACAGAAAGTCTTCGATTTCTCTCCAGTCCGCAGGTAGCGCGCAAATCCAAAATCGCCCAGTTTGATGTTCTGATCTTTGTCCAAGAAGATGTTCTCGCATTTGAGGTCCCGATGCACGATTTCATTCTCAACGAGATACTAGAAAATATTGGCTGGGTTTTCACAATTTGTAATCCCCTGGTACTCGAGTCAGCCGAAAATGCACATCATCGTAGAATAAACTAACTAAAATTGAGTAACTAAACCATCCCCACCGAGAGCGCTTCGATCAGTTGTCGGAAGAGTACTTTCCCCTCGGTCTCCGGAATGCGCTTTGCCGCGTTGATTTTCTCTAGTAGGTCGCCACCGTCACACAACTCGGTGAGGAAACAGAGGTAGTGATTGTGCTCGATAACCTAAAGAATAGAATAGCCAGAGGGTTATAGAACGTAGAAGACTCACTTCCAAGACGGAGCAAATGTTCGGATGTTGGATGGCTTTGACGATCTCGAGCTCGCGTGGGAGGAAGCGCTTCACGTAGTCGCCTGCTTGTCTAAAAATAGACTTTGAAAGTTAAATGAACGATAGGAAGCCATCAGTTAACCATTAACAAAACCACTACCGTCGATCGATATTCTTGATTGCGATGAGTGGATGGGTGGCGGCGAGCTTCGGGTATTTGGCCAGTACCACCGTCGAGTAGCTGCCCGATCCTAAAACAAGACAATGTGAAAAACAAGCTAGTCAAGTCACTTCCCAAGTACTTTGACCGCCTCTATGTTGCTCTCCTTGTAGAATTCCGCCAGCGTCGCGCTCTTTACAATATTGTTTGTCATACCTACAAGATTTGGCATAGAACAATAGATGGTAACACTGATAGACTAGGATACCCAAAAGTTCAAAGTAGCACGAACAATATTTAAGGTGCAAATGAAATCACCGAAATCAAGGGGCCATAAAAACCAATGTTAAGGTAGTGAAAAGTTCAGAAAACATACCTGAGTTAAAGGCTAACTTCGGAAGATTAGTACAAAAGATAATTTTTCTCGTCCCTCGCGATTTCTTTTATTTAACGGATAAATGGAAAATGATGAAAATCACATGTAAACAAGCGTTCGGAGCCTAATTTAATTATGTAAAGTTTATATTTTAGAATAGCAGATGATCGCATTGCTCAACACAATGGTCGCTTCAACGAGTTGCAAGTGTCGAGGGCGAGTCTGGAAGCCGAATTGGAAATGCAACGACAAATCGCTACCGAGACGAAGAGGGTCAGTCCAAATTTTAGTTGGTGATTTCAAGTGATTCTTTAGGAATTCGATAAGTTCATGCAGTCCTTCTACAAGAAAGGTGAAGAAGCGCAAAAGGTAAACAACTTTTTAAATTGCGAAATTATTACTTTCAGGCTCGATCGGCTCTTGTGGAAATTGAGAAGAAACTCCTGAGCAACAACGAGATGGTGTTACAGCAGCAGAACAGGATTGCCAGTTTGGAGTGAGTAACTTTGTCTTTTTATCCTTTAATTCAAAATTCTTCCTTGTAGTTACTTTAAATTAACCCCTTCTGTATGTTATTCAAGTAATCTTTTTAACTTCAGGGTCGCCAATCGTGTGCTTAGCGAAGATACGGACCATGCTCGGTCGACGATCGCTCGACTTGAAGGAGAACTGAAAGTGCACCAGGAAATGGCAAAAACACACGAGACTTTGGTCGGTTTAATACATTACTTTTACTTTACTTTGTGCAAGACTCCTTGATTGTATCTGCTTTTTTTTAGATCTCGGTTCTTGGCGATGCTGAACGACGACTACAATTAGGAGAAGATTTAAAGATTACGCGGCTCGAATCGCTCCTGGAGAGCACAACCATTGAACGGGATCAATTGCGAGTCACCAATCAAAATCTCTCCGACCAATTGACGCACGCCTCCAGATTGAGCAGTGAAGCCGAGGTGGAGTTTATGGCAAAGAATTTTGTGAAGTACTCTGTTGTATTCTGCCTCACTTTTACGATTTTGAGAAGATGTTGTAAAATGTAAACTAATATTTTCCTAGGCCACTTTTAAACTTTGATTTAAAAGCATAGTATTTATTTTTTTCAGAAACGCCTATCCGGTGAACGCGATCATCTAATGGCCAAACTCAACGAGACCCAGGCGGCCAACAAGGAGATCGAGGACGAAATGGTCAATCTGCGTGCAAAGTTGGACGTCGCTCAGAAACAAGCTGCTTTGTATGAGTCATCGAATGGTAAATATCTAAAGTTTTGATGTTCAAATTGTTATTTAGTTGCTCATAATCCGGAGCGTCTAGCCAATCGAAACACTTACTTGGAGACACAAGTTGAAGAACTTCGTGTACAACTGGCCGAAAGTGATGCAAAGTTGAAGAGACGGGAGCAAGAGGTGAATTTACTTTACTTGGGTGCAACGTTCATGCAATTATTTATTTTTAGTTGGCTCAATTGTCGACCACTTCGGACAGCGTGGAAGCCTCATTGCGACAACACACCGAGAACTCATCGCAAACGATCAGCCAACTCAACAGCTTGTTGAGAAAAGCCGAACAAAGAAATGTGGAGCTGACGAGCGATTTGGCGGTTGCACGAGACGAACTGCAACGGGAATCCGAGAATTTCACCGCACGTGAGGCACAATGGAACAACGATAAAACGACGCTTGAGCAAAGAGTTTGCTTTTGACACTTATTAGCCGTCGCTAAAGTCTTAAAAGAGTAAACTAGAGTATATATTATATTAAATTTTAGATTGCGATCATCGAAGTTCAATTGGCCAACTCTGAATCAGTGAAAGAAGACACGCAACGCCGTTTGAATGAGGCCCGCAGTGAGAATACGCAAGACAAGGAGAAAGTCAATGAAGTTGGTGCGATTTTGGTGTTTATGATTACGATTGGTTTAGCTCGAGCAAAACATCAATCAACTGCAAATCGATCGTGATGGTCTTGAAGTGAATTTGGAAGGCTTGCGCACGCAGCTCAGCCATACCACTATTGAATTACAGGTTTGTTTTTATGTTGGAAAGTTTGTAATTAGCAAAAATCTGGCCATCATGTACCTTATTAAATTAGGTGCATGAATTAAATTGTTAAATGAATAGATTAAATAATTGTACCCATTTTAGAATGCGAATGCTCGAGTTGTCGAAGAAGCGCGGGCACGAGAAGCCGCCGTTGATGCCGAGAAAACGCGACAAAAAGACGCCGAAGAAAAGATCCGAAGGGCTGAGGAAAATCTCTTGGTGGCGCAATCAAGGACTGAAGAGCTTGTTCAACACATTGCCAATGTAAGTATATAGTTAAAGTACATGAAGAACTATTCTTTTAGTTGTCCAATGAACTGAGCGTTAGAGAAGCTCAACTTTCTGGTCAAGCAACTGAGGGGGTCGGTGTCATTTCGGAAGGAAGTGTTCAATCTCTGCATCAAGTCCTTCGTTTCTTGCGCGAGGAAAAAGAAAAGGTAAGTTGTTCAGCAGGAATTGTCTGAATTAAATTGTTGTAGGCTCAAGAACGCTTGATGCAAGCGGAGATTGACGAGAAACGAAAAGCGATTGAGTCAGAAGAGCTTCGAGTTGAAAAGAACCGCATCGCTGAAACACTGCGGCAACGAGAGGCCGAAGCCGAACAAAACAAAGCAGCATTGGCACAAAGGGTAAGTTGTAAAGTTTAATTTGATTTGGCTAATCATTAAATTTAGAGTGAATTGATCACCCGCCTTCAAAAGATGGCAAGCATTGCTAAAGAAAATACGATGCTGAAAGGGGAAAAGGAGAAGCTCACCACTGCATATTCACAATTGAACAACAAGGTTTGATTTCAATTTATGATCATTCTATGATTTATTTTAAAGGCTATAACACTCGATCGTCAAGTGGCTCAACTACAAGAGGACAAGGCAAAGGCTGAACAAAATGCCGCCTCAGCGACAGCTCTCGCCGAAGCTCGACAAGCCGAATTGGAGGTGTCAAGGAAGAAGATCGGTGAGACGGCTCAACAGAAGATCAACAATATGATGTGAGTTTTGGAAAGTACCTTAGAGTAAGATTACAATTCAATTGTTTCGACTTGCATATTATTTCAATGCTTTAGGAAAGCGGTTGAGGAAGCACGAGCTAGAGCCGAGAAGTTTGTCGCCGAAAAAGATGCCGAAACACTGAAGGTCCAAGAAGTCGTTCAACAAGCAGCCGGCAAAGACAAAACTATGTAAATATTCTACTTCTTAACGTTGACTTTGTATTTTAGCAAAACACTCGAACTCAAAGTGAAAGACACCGAGAATCGTCATCAACAAGTCGTCGCATTGGCAAAAAGTTTGAGAGATCAGCGAGACAAGCTCAAGCAACAAGTCGATGGAAAGACCCCAATAGGTAACCGATTGAACTCAAAGATTTCCAGAGTTTTGTTTAGAACCGGTGCAAAACGAGTCGATGCAAAAGAAACAGGAGGAAATTCAACAGTTGCAAGAACAGGTCAACGATTTGACGCAGAAGCTCGAGGCCGAGGTTGCCAAGGCTAAAGCGCTCCATGAACAAGCTGAGGAAGAGAAGAGTTGGTTTTGAAAGCAATAATATCTTATTAATTCACTTTTAGACGAAGCCTCATTCCGATCGACTGCCATGTCAAACATGGTCAAGAAAACCCAAGATAGGCTGACGAGTCTCACCAAGGAACTTGAAGCAGAAAAGGTATAATTTATTCATAAAATGCTTGTATGTTGATTCTTTTAGGAAGCCCATGCGAGAACTCGAGCCGAAGCAGCGCTCCAACAGGCCGCCGTTCAGCCATCGTCATCGCATCCCGTTGAGCTCCCGCCAGCACCAACTCCTGTCATCTCGCAATCATCTGTCATCGTCCCTTCTGTGCCCACTCCGACAAGTGCTTCTGGTACAACTTCCACCGTTCAACACATGACTGAGACTGTGCCACATGTAAGTTAGAGTTATCAATTTTTTTTGCAGAATTAGTTTTAAACTTGATCTAGTGGGGAAATGCTAGAGTAGTTTGGTAGTTTAATTTCAATGATCGCCTAAAAATACCCCAACTTTCTAATTTAGGTCCCCAGCTCATCGGTGACTCGTCAAACGGACGCCCATCCGACCGTCCCATCAGCACAGCAATCGATCTTCTCGCCATTTTCTAATCAACCATCCACATTCCGCACTACTCCATCATCTGCTGTTTTTGGATCAACGACTCTTTTTCAGGTCTTGTATAACAATTTAAATTATGCTACGATTTTTTAGGCTCAAACATCTTCAAATCTTTTGCCAACATCATCTTCCACTGTTACCGTAAGTGCTCCGCAATCGTCAAGCCCTACCCCATCAGTTCCGATGGTTCGTTGAAAGATTTTTTAGCTCTAACTGAAGCATAAATGTAATAGTTATGAAAATATTCATTCAATTCAAGGAGCTGTAAATTTAAGCGCAAAAATTCGTTTGCGAACTAGTAGGCATGTTTATTGCACGTTTTCTCTTTCAGGTAGCTTCATTCTTCGGCACTCGCCCGGCCACCATTCCAAATAGAGGTTCCTCGTCTTTTACATTCGCCTCTTCAGCTGCGCCAGCAGACCCAGCACCGGCTATCTCGACATTTTCTTCATTTGCCACCACAACCACAACCAAGCCCGTCATTTCGATCGGTGAAGTAAGTTGTTCAAGATGCTAGCCAGTTAGACAGAAAAAGTAATTTGATAAATTTTAGAGCAGCCACTTGTCGGCCACTCAGCCTCAACCAGATAGCCGTGCGCAAGAGGAAAGCTCTGTCGTCCTAGTTGAAGAAGGTTGTTCACAAACTTTAAGCACATGATTTTCTTGTTTAGATTTACTTCCTCCAACGGACGGCGTTTCACAAGACGGTCTCCTCTCGGCGATCACTTCATCTAGTGGCGAGGGTGTTGGCGGAAGAAAGCGAACAGCTACAGGAAATGAAACAGGTAAAGGTGTACGAGTTTAGCTTAATGCAGTCTTTGCTTGTCTCAAACTATCTGTGTCTTGTTCAGACAACGAAGCAAAGCGTCAGCGCGAAAGCCCCGGTGAAGAGCAAATCACAAGCAGTGAACGATTGCACGACGAGGCAGAGGTGACGGTACTTTTATGGCGTAAAACTTATATTACATTTTGTATCAGCCCTTCGATGACACCTTATTTTAGGTGTTGCTTGACGAGGACGTCTCAAATGAAGCGCTTGAAGAAATCCCAGGGGAAGATGAGGATTTGGGAGATCACGATGACGAGGATTTGGAAGGATTGGAAGAGGAGGGAGAAATTGGGGAAATGGAAGAGGGAAACGACGATGGACTGCCGGAAGTGATTGACAACTTTGAAGATGACGATGATGATATTCAGGTAAACTTTTGAAGTAATACTTTTGAGTGTATCAACTGTTGACTGACTTTATTATAACGAATTAGATTGTCCTGTTTAGGAAGTCCCAGACCACCCACTCCAACATCAACGAATGCAGCGTCAGGGCACACCAAGTGATGACGATATTCAAGTGCTTTCCTCGGACACTGATGAAGGAGATGGGGCAACTGACTCAGAAGAGTAATTTCTAGATCCTTTGCTAGATTGTACTACTTTTAACAGGAAGCATTTCCTAATAAATTAACATGTTTAGTGATCAAGGCATTGGCCGAATGGACGAGGAACAAGGGGATGAAGAAGAGGCCGAAGATTTCGACTACGGTGAGGGAGCCGAGGACTTGGATGATGAAGAGGCGGCTGTGGATTTTGTGGATGATGGTGGGTAGTGTGGTTTTTTTGCAAACGCTATCTTTTTTTAGATGGTGAAGCGGAAGTAATTCAAGGAATCGATCAAAGCGATCACGATGCTGGTGGTGATGTTGATGAGCAGACACAAGGTATGGCTCCATCCAAACTTTGCAGCTAAAATAGGTTTTAGATGCTGAAAACGTTGGCGACGATTTGGGAGATCTTGGCGAGGAAAGAGAAGCCGCATCGGCGATGGAAGAAGCAGACGATGAGAGGGAAGATGGTGAGAAGTCGATGCGTGCTGCTGAAGACGAGGGAATTGCTGGAGGTATATGGCTTTGGGCAGTTTGTTCTTTGGACTTAATTGAAATTATTTATAGCTGTTCCTCAAATCACAGCACTTAATACGAGTCTTAAAAGTTTATCCTGGTGCTTTGCAAGTTAAAAAATTTGAAACTCTTATAATGTTTTTGCTTTCAGAAGAAGAAAGTGACACATATTCGCAGCCATCTCAATCCTCGTCCACCGCCACTTCACATGCTGGTCGACAAGCGCAAATGCGACGCGCAGCTCGAACTCCAATCAGCTACGACTTGGTGCCGACATCTAGGTGAGGATTTTTGTAAAAACTAAAAAAATGTCTGTGAAAAGATGTGATAGTTGGCTTTAGAAGGCTAATCTTCAATATAGACCAATCAATGTCTACATTTAGCAACGAGTCGACCGAGCCTCAATCCTCTTCATCTGGTGTAGCGGCAGCTCAACGGCGTCAACGTCCACCAATGGTGAGTTTTTAGACTTTCTAGTTATTTCAACAACTTTTGATTCAGAGTGCCGGTCTCTACGTGACTCCAATGAATCGTCAACAAACGGCACAACGTGGTGGAATGATCAGTGGACGAGGACAGCCACAAATGGTAGGCTTACCTTTAGTGAAAAATGAGTTTGTGGTAATGCGAAGGGACTTGTAAATGAAAATCCCCTAACAATGGATCAGTGGCAGTGTTTTGAAATGCAAGAACTGCTGACTGCTTCCAATAATTTTCAAAATTTTTCTTTTTAGGCTCGCCGCGGTGGTGCTCCAGGACTAGCACAACGAGCTCGTCGGGGAGGAGGTCGAGGAATCTAAGCAAAAGAGCCGCGGGACATCAAAAAGTATATTCATGATTTATATTTTTGTTCGTTTTTAAAAATTTCTTATTTTGTCGACATTTTTCACTATGATACTCTCTAAAGTGATCGATGTTCTGGTTGGTGTGATTCTGTGTCAATTTATTGATTAGAGTTGAATTTCCAATGTTTAGGAAAATACGTGTTTGCGTCTCGGTTTTCTTTTTTACCAATAAAATATTGATATTCATTACACGTCAGAATAGGCGCCGGCGAGTGATTGGGGTACCGAATTTCCAACCAACTGAGCTACAACAAATACAGTCAAGCTTTTATATAACGATTTTGAAATTGTAAAAGGTGTCCCTGATTTCTGCGTAGCTGCCCAATTAGCTGCAATCGTTGGGCGCACAGGGCAGCTACGCAGAAAATGTGGGGCGCGTTTTAGAATCGTTATAGACATTTTTGGTCCCTTTGATATCGCTATAGAGACTGTAAGTCTCAGTTCAACCGTTCCGATCGGATGATCAACTCAAGAGACAGTTTCTCTAAATGATCTAATATATTATAATTTTGAGCAAATGTCTGTCGGTTTGTGTGTATGTCTGTTACCACGATTTCGCTTCACCATTTGTGAAAGGTAGCTCGGGCTGGAATTTGCTTCTTTCTAACGTGAAGCTCGGAGTTTTTCGCGCTACAGTTAAACTACGGCAATTTGGAGTAGCCAGGAGTTTGGTCTAACGCTGGCCTGGGCCTCGAATAGAAGACGGGGTCTAGGGGGTGATTCAAAAAAATAGAAGACCGGTCTTCTATTCGAGTAAATACGGTAAATGTTTTTAGTTTCCGAAGCTGTTCGCGTTGTTGAAGTGAGTGATGAGGATCCCGAGCATGCCTTCACGTTAAACGAGGCCGCTCTTGAAAAGGTTCTCTTGGACAGAAAATATGCCGATAAAAAGGTTTGTTTTATATTTGAAAACAATGTACATCTTGTGTTTTTTAGGTAGCCGTTATTGGGGTGGCTGGTGTTTATCGTAAAGGAAAATCGTTCTTGCTCAACTTCTTCCTTCGTTATTTGCAAGAGCTCGAACAGTACAAAGGCTTTAATAAAGTTTTCAAGCTTTTAATTGTGTGAATTTAGATCATGAATGGCTTCTACCTGATTGTGATTAGTGATGCTTAATAATGCTTAATGTACTTAGATTTATAAATGTTGACCGGTTAGATGTTGTTGCTTTTTGTCATGTTTTGCGAGCTTTTCTCTTTATCGTTGTGACTTGGAATAAATGTATAAAATATTGTTCGATGATGGGGTTACTGTTTGAAGCGGTTGTCAATTTCTTGATTGATTGACTTTTTCGAGCTTTACATTTTGTAGCTCTTTACGGCCTGGCTATCCCAAGGTAATTTCACTATTTCTCTAACATTTCCGTTATCCGTGAAGCACCTCTTCGTCTCAAAACAAAGTCTAGTCTTGTATTTACAGGTCATACCGTCAAAGCCAGTCATGCCGTTCGAAATGAAGAATTGTTTGAAGTCATTTCCAATGGAGAAGTTGTGTTTCGATTTGAAGTTGGAAGTGTTGGAGCAAATGGAGCCAAGGGATGTGCTTGAGTTGGTTAAGGTGAACGAAGGATTCAAAGGGATGCTCGTGAGGGATCCGTCGATCGTTTTTGGAGAGCGCGTCTTAGAGATTGTATTATCCAATGAGATGATTTTGATCCATCAGTTTTCCAATTCACCTTTAGTAGTGCTCAATGTCTCTTCTCACGCTTCTTTCCTCAAGAAGATTCGATCGTGCGATTGCTTGTCGGTCTGGATGAATCTGGATGAAGGAATATTGAACGATCAATACACACTTCTGCGCAATTTGAAGTCTGTGAATGATTTCCGCCTGGAAGGGGATTCAAGAGAAGCTCTCGAGAGATTCTTCTCAAATGTCCACGCATCGATCAAGAAATATGCAGGGCTGAATATCGAACTCGGTGAAGATGAAGATGATCAAATGATCAACGGTTTCATCGAGAATTTCATCATGTCACAACTCAAGGATTGCGAGGAATTTGGGTTTCACTGTTATTCCAAAGATTTATTTAGCTTTTACTACGACGTCTTGTTGAAGACTGGGATCAAAAAAGTTTCTATTCGTGATGGTTCAGCTAACAACTTTGATTGGATGGCTCAACAGATCTTCACCAATGGAATCCCGAGCAAGAACCCGGAGGCTACTATCTTGATTTATACAGATTGGATGGATGGACATCCCTACAACGGGATGGATCCCTCACAATATCCAGGAATACGACGAATCGATGGAGAGAATCGTCTTCGACTTCTCAAACAGGCGGAGGATGTTATGGAGAATTTAGGATGGTTGGTTTGTGATTATAATTGGAGTCGATATTCTGATCATTATGGGGGTTCTGATGGTTCTGATGGTTCTGATGGTTCTGAGGCTTATGGGGGTTTCGACATGGAAAGCTCAATCTACCGTCGACGCATTGATTCAACCAAGGACTGCGTCTACGTGGACAGTTATTTTAACTCCTCCCTGGTCTTCTTGGCCTTCTACGTGCCGGTCGGTTAAAATGAACACTCTTTGATGATTCATTGTATCTTTTAGCCGTTTTCTATTGTTTCCGTTTTTTGATTTGGCAGATTATTGGTGTTTTATGTGTTATATTTGGTTGCCTTTCAATTATTCAGAATAAACTTTTAAAATCTTTTGTGAAATGAAAAGAAAATGATTTGATATTATCTGTACTTTTTAGAAGTCTAATTGATTGTGAAAGTGTCAGTGCGGTTATTCCATTAGATAAGTCTTCGTGAAGCGGCAACGGCTTTTCGCAAAATGATATCCGAGACCTGCAAAGACGTCGATGCGAAAAACTCCAAAGCTACGGTTGGGGATTTTTTTGTTTATAACACACGTATTTATTGTTTCTTTTTAGGGATCTTTCTCGGCACCATGGTTGAACCTCGACTCGACGTCAGAGTGCTGACCGCGCCAACTGACCCCAATGCCAATTTCATTTTAGAAAACTTGAATAAATTGTCATTCTTATTTTGTTTTAAAATATAAGGCTTTAAAACCTGAAACCTTTTGACTTTCCCTCAAAAAAGTTGGGAGATCTTTTGAAAGCAGATTCTTTTGCAGAACGATAAAAAGCAGTGAGCCTTTTCAAAAATGATCTCATCAATGATGATTTCCTGTGCAGATGAGAAGATAGTGCTCTGTGTGTGGAAATGACAACACAGTCTGTTGCTCTCTAAGATCAACTAAAGGGGAAATTTTATAAACAAGAGCTTTGGAGTGCAAAAAGGCTGGATTCTAAGGACATCTAAAAACTTAGTAACTTGGTATGTACTGTAATTGAAACCAAAAAAAAATCTGTGTTAAGATTACTTTTTAACATGTGACCTGAGAGTTTCGCAATATCAACGACGAGTTTATGCCTATAAAGCCCGTCTATGGTCTATAAGTTGCGGGTTATTTTGATGCCAGCTTGCAAATCGTAGTGTTAAAGCATAGCAGTGTGGAAATTTGCGTACTAATTTCCCCTCTTTGCCATTCTCTCTTTCATATAAATGATGGGTCTCTACCCCCTCCTCGTGAAAACGGTTATAATGAATGAAATCGAAAATCAACTCGCGTCTTTCTTCCCTTTCATTTTGACATGAGAAACTCGTTTATTGTGCTCATTTCCTATGCCTCTGCATTTGTTGTTTCAGAAGGTGAGAAACATGAATTTTCCTTAAATATCGAGAAATTCTTAGGTGCCTCTTATGATTCGTAGAGAACTTTTCGGGAAATGTTCCGAATTCGAAAAGATCTCGATGATTCGATGAGAACTGAGAACTCGACACTCATGGGCGAGTCGAGATTTCGTGCGACCGATTGGGAGTATCGCTGGAGAGCCGGTGGGAATCGAAATCAAAAGGAATTGAGCCTAAAAACGATAAGCGATCGAACTAATCATAGACAGAAATTTGATCTACTCAAATCCAGAAGGATTATTTTTCGTTTAGCAGATCTATCCCCCGGAAGATCCGGGTCAAATGCGGGCGTGGAATCATACATATTTGACGACGAGAATGGAATCGCTTTTCCACAACGAGCACGACCATCAATCGAGAAGATTGTCGTTTAAACAATGACGTGAGTCATTGTTTAAATAATAAGTGCAGGTGTTAAATTAAAAGAAACCATTCCAGCCGGGGATAAACATAAGAGCTATAATAATTGGAGAAATAATCTTATTCAAATTCTAACTACTAATTTTTACTCTTCGCGCTTTTCTGCTATGTATTGGGTTGGTGGGTATGACTTGGCACGTTTTTTGAAATGAAATTTTTCTTCAGTTAACAATTTCAAATCATGCGAGATATTTGGGCCTCGTCAAATCTCGAGAACCTTTTAGAGTACTTTTTGTTGAATATTTGGTATCAAAATGAGGCTGATAGTCTAGGCTTTCTGATCGAAAAAGTTTCAGATTGCTAGCAACTTTCAATGCGCTGATATGACTGGTCAAACTTGAAACCTCGTTAACAAGTCTACTTACAGGGTCCGTGCGTTCTGTCCCCTCTCCAAGAATCATTTATACGACTCGAACCAAGCAAGTTAGAGAAAGATGGACTGCAAATTTGAAATTTTTGACTATTCTTACCCTAGAAATGCTTCTTCAGAAAGATGTTTCTTTTGGAGGTCCTTTTTTTGGCTGACTCTCCTAGCTTCTTTGACATTCTGCCATTCTGCGAGCCGAGTTGGTGACTCTTTTACGGTTTTCAAGCTTTTGCAGAAGTTCAACACTCAAATCCCCCCCTAGATCTGATCGTCAGCTACATTTTCCGGCCCCACATCGATAGGTTCTGATAAGCGGTTCTCGAGATTTTGAGGAATTTAGGCGACGCTCTGGGTGCACTACTATTAGAGAAAATACGGTATTATCGATCGCTGATAGTCAGCATCCAATTCAGCTTTGTAATCAATAACAAAAATTGCTCTTTAATTGGAAAAAATAAACAAGAAACGTACTAACTATCTTACTAAGCTAATTATCAGCCTACTTTTCCCAGAATAGCAGCTTATTCATGGAAATGAAGTCACTCATTTGTAAGCCTGTCATTAGACAAGAAAAAATGGTCCACAAGTCTGACCAATTATTTCAAATTTGTCCGATAGTCAAATCACTTTATTGAAGCTCAGCTTTACGACTTTAAATGGTAATATTAGGGGTTTGCAAAAGAAACTGCGTATTATACGCAACGTTCAAACACCTCGAAAATTAATAATAAAAGACTTTATTCCAAAAGGTACTCGCCAAAATTATCAACTATATTTTTCCATTTTTTACGTAGACTTCGGATGCCTGATTCGAAAGATTTCGGATCTTGTGACGCGAAATAGTCTTGCACCCAAATTTCGACTTCTTGGTAATTGTTAAACTGTTGATTTGCAAGGGAGTGTTGCATAGATCGGAACAAGTGGTAATCTGAGGGAGCGATATCAGGGGAATATGGCGGATGAGGCAGAAGATTCCAGCCTAATTCTTCTATGGTGTTTTGAGCCAAGTTTGATGTGTGTACCCGGAAATTGTGAGCGAGTAAATGGATGGTCCTTCGATTAACACCTCTTTCTCGTAGAATTTCATCAACTTTCTTCAGCTGTTCGGTGTAGATTTGAGAAGTTATAGTTTTTGAAGATTTTCGTAATTCAAAATAAACGATTCCTTTCATATTCCAAAAGACCGAGAGCATAACTTTCTTTCCGTGAAGTTTTGGATGTGATGTCGGAATCGGCCTTTCTCTTTTACTCAACTATTGTCTTTTGCATGTTGCATTATTGGAATATGTTCACTTTTCGTCCATCATCAACATGTTTCCAAAAAAGCACTGCCCGTAGCCTTTTTCAATAGAAACCGAGACCATAAAACTCGATTGGCTTTGTTTTCAGGGGATAATTCATGTGGAACTCATTGGCCACAACGATTCCTTTTTACAATAAGCGCAAGGTGTCGAGAAATTGTGTTCGAATCACATTTAAAGTATTCGGCTAATTCGGGCAAAGTTTGAGTTGGATCCAACTCGACAACCTCGAGCAACTCCGCATTATCGAGGGCAACAGGACGATGTCCATGGGGCTCGTCTTCCAAGCCCTCATCTCCTTCACGAAAACGCCGGAACCATTCCTGACAACTTCTTTCACCCAAAACGTTTTCTCCAAATGCTTCACAAAGATTCCGGTGCGACTCCAATGCTGATTTCTTCATTTTAAAGTCATAGAGAAGGCAAGCCCGCAAAACGAATTTTTGATCCGTCATCTTCGACAACTAAAATTATTTATAATTCAATGGTCAAACAAATGTGAAAATCAGTAAAATAAATAAGCGTTATCAACACAATAGAATAAAATTTAAACTGGGTTAGAGCACTTTCAAATAGAGAAAATATTGTTCCGGAAAGTCATGCGCAGTTTCTTTTGCAAACCCCTAATATTACAAAGGTTTTTATATCTAATGTTCATCATCTTTAGAAGCGACGAATAGTGAAATCGTTTACAACTGAGGATCGGGTGTTGTTGATAACGTGTAACGCCGATCAGGAATACAGGTGTGCAGAATAATACTCAATAATAATACAGTTAAAGCTTAGCTATAGCAGAAAATAACATTCGCCTAGTCTTCGGTGATTCAACTTTGAGTAGGTCCAACAGGTCCATACTTGTTCGCAAACTCGAGACGGATCTTCCTGTGCCTGGCAGCCATTAAAGGCTTCTTAGCGGCACGGCTTGTCATCAATCGAGCACGAATCAGGCTCACTGTCATTCGATTGGTATTCTTACCGAATTGTTGCTTCATGAGTCGGACTCCGTCTGAGGCATTGCGATTTGGGTCCTTCTTGGGAAACACGAGTGCTTTGTTTTCGCGAGTTGTTGTGACAGGTGGGCGGCCGGTTTTTGCGGCTCAGTAAAAGTTGCCGGCTAATTTTGCTTTAGTAAACAAGCGTTTCACCTTCCTTTCTCCACACTTGAACTGCTTGACCACATCTTTCACTGACATCATCTGTGCTAGGCCACATCTTTCACTTTCCCTGGCCTCAACGATTTTCTTCTTGTCCGCGGTCAACGAATATCCAATTAAAAGAATTCTAAAATAAAAAAGATTAGCGAGAAGTTAAAAAAAAACACTTAAAAAGGCAAGATTTTCAAAAAAAAGCCAATCCTTTTCTGCATTTCTTTTAGAGTAAGCGTTAAAAAAGTGTATTTTATTGGTTTAGATTTTTTTGGGTTTATGGCTATGCAATCATGAAACTAGAGAAAAAGCTCTAACTAAAAGTTGCCCATTTTGAAATTCATAGAAAAAAGTTATAGAGTAAAAAAGATTTACAATCACTGGGTGGGGGGGGGCAAAACTTTTGTGCGTGACTATATGAATGCAAAACCCCATTTTGTTATAGAGAAATTTTTGCTATCTGGGGTTTCGCTATATGAAACTTTAACTATCTAACATAAAAGCGACTTAATCTTTAAAAATTTCTATTTACAAATACGATAGTTAATTTACCTTTGTACAGAACGATTGGCCTTTGAGGATTTCGAAATCGACTCCTCGTCGGGGAAATTCCGATGCCCAATTTGCTTCACATATACAGATTTGGTAATTTTTAAAACTGAATTCTATAGGCTTAAGCTTATTGGGTCTTTGAATCGATCATTTATTATCCTTATTAGCTTTTTTTTATTTTGTTCAAAAGTGATTAAAATGTTTAGAATAAGCTTCATCGTTTACGGCACATGTGGACACTGATTGATGCATCCGCGAGAAGATTTCTCCCATTCTCCTTTTCCGATTATGCAATTTTATAAAACAATACAGAATTTTCAAGTTTTTGAGAATAAATCTTTATTTCTCTTCACCGGGCCAAAGCTTTTCAACGATTTTCTCTTCAATCTCCGTCTCGGTCTTTTTCCATTTCGTGCGACGATTTTCAAACCAAATCTTTACCTAAATTTTAATTTTTAAACAAAAACTGTCAGAAAACAAATAGTTCAAAGTTATTTTTAGATAGCTAGATCTCCTTTTGCATTACAGATTGCGATTAGCAATCTGGAAAAGTTGTTGAAGCTAGGGTTACAACTAAACTACAGGGTAATCAAAAAGTTCCCGCACACTTTACAAAAGATCCATTTTCCAGCTAAAACCCAGATCGAAAGAAGAACCGAAATCCATAGTATTTTGAAGCTGAAATCCTGGGAAGCATTTCTACACCTAAACCATCCTGATCAGAGCCACCTAGCTCTTCAAAAAAGCATTGTAGTGCGCTGGGCGAACTGCCATGGCGCTCACCTATTTGAACTTTTTCACGATTGAAAAATTCTTAAAAAACGTTTTCAGATTGACACTTTTGTTTTAAGTGACAGTTCAATTGCTATTTTAAAAGAATAAAATCTTTCGTGAAAATAAAAAAGGTAAAGTAGTCTTGAAAAACGTGTGTGTTGTCTGTTGTCTGAAACTGTGTGTTGTCTGTCTGTTTGCCTCGAATGCAGTGCAAAGCTTCTTGAAAATGCCGGAAATTTCTGATCGGGAATTACTTTTAGAAATGTTCAGAATTATTTCAGCTTCAAAATACTATAAAACACGGGGAAATTTAGTTTTAACTTTCATTTGGAAAATCAATCATTTATGCGGGAACTTTTGATCACCCTGTATTTCAAGGATGCAACTTTTGCGAAAATTCCCTGGATTGCGAGTCCGAATTGGGGCCGATTCTCAAGTTGTTTTGACTTCACAGGATGTAGAATTTATGGCCAAATATAGCCAAATTTAAAGGCAAATTTTTCCCCACGGATTTCGGCATAATGCCGTCGAAATGGAGAAACTCGTTCCGTCGCTCTTTAATACGGAAAACGATTAGCTCTATTACTTTCACCCTGTCTTGTTTTTTGTTTGGTGATAAAGGTTTGAAGTCAGAGGTGTTTAACAGTCAAAGTTTTAGCTCGAGGGTCCAATGCTTTAACAGGATGTTATAGAAGAATAAAGCCAAATTTTAGGCAACTAATGATCCCCACAAATTTCGGCATAGAGTCGCACAAGGCGGCAAACCGATCCACTCAACGTTCCTTCCCCTTTACCGATTTCGAAAGGGAAACACTTTATACCAAACGGGTATGCTGGGTCGCGAGCGATTACGCAACCGAACAAAGAACACCTCTACTCATTTTCATTTCTACAAAAAATTTCATTAAAAAAGTTATATGTCCTGGATAATTTGATTTTCGTGAGAATCGGTTCTATTTCGGTTCTTTAATGCTTTCAAATTCTTGCAAAATCATCTAGAAAAAAGCTTTTGATAATCCGGGGCATTCCAGAAAATGGAAGGAACCAAATTTATGCTAGAGCAGTCAGAAATTCAGTTCCAAGAAGAATAAAACAGACAAAAACTTCTGAAAGGAAAGTTTAGCTAATTGAATGAAAAAAAATGCAGCTGGATTATACTTTTCTTTTAACGTTCGACTAGTTTCAATCATGAGACAAAATTTCTCGAACCTGAGTCTCTGTAACGTTCAGTAAACGAGCGAACTCTTGTCGCTCGCTTGACGAGAGATATTTCTTTGCATATAAGGACGATCAGAAATGAAATCCGGAAACACTGAGCTGAAGTTGCACGGAAAGGGTGTGTTTATGAGATCGCCTTTGTCATATTTCACTCCTTTTTCGATGAAATGTTTCATTTTTGGCGGCCATAAGGCGTTTAGCAGGTTTACAATCCATATATGTAAACCGATTCTCTCTACATTTGATAAACAAATTCGCCGCGTTTTTTTGGCTCTCCTTAGGCAGTCTAGGAATTGAGTCTACTTCCAAATTCTATTGAGTTTTCTAAACGTCTTGATTTTTGAAAAAATTGTGTATAACATTTAGAAATTTGGTGATCTTATGGTGCTTTTTGTTAACGCTCAGAAATTGAAAGAATCCATTCCACCAAGTTATATCACAAAAGAAAAATACGATAAAGATAAAAGAAGTATAAAATAATCAGAATTGGAAACAAAAAAAAATGATAAGAAAAAATGACCGTCAACTTTGGGAATTTCAAAATCTCGCGAACTTGGCAATTAGGAGATGGATTAGAGCAGAGATTGCCAACAGGTTACTAGGGCCGATTTATTATTATTCTACTTCTTGACGTTGATTTTGACTTTGTATTTTAGCAAAACACTCGAACTCAAAGTGAAAGACACCGAGAATCGTCATCAACAAGTCGTCGCATTGGCAAAAAGTTTGAGAGATCAGCGAGACAAGCTCAAGCAACAAGTCGATGGAAAGACCCCAATAGGTAACCGATTGAACTCAAAGATTTCCAGAGTTTTGTTTAGAACCGGTGCAAAACGAGTCGATGCAAAAGAAACAGGAGGAAATTCAACAGTTGCAAGAACAGGTCAACGATTTGACGCAGAAGCTCGAGGCCGAGGTTGCCAAGGCTAAAGCGCTCCATGAACAAGCTGAGGAAGAGAAGAGTTGGTTTTGAAAGCAATAATATCTTATTAATTCACTTTTAGACGAAGCCTCATTCCGATCGACTGCCATGTCAAACATGGTCAAGAAAACCCAAGATAGGCTGACGAGTCTCACCAAGGAACTTGAAGCAGAAAAGGTATAATTTATTCATAAAATGCTTGTATGTTGATTCTTTTAGGAAGCCCATGCGAGAACTCGAGCCGAAGCAGCGCTCCAACAGGCCGCCGTTCAGCCATCGTCATCGCATCCCGTTGAGCTCCCGCCAGCACCAACTCCTGTCATCTCGCAATCATCTGTCATCGTCCCTTCTGTGCCCACTCCGACAAGTGCTTCTGGTACAACTTCCACCGTTCAACACATGACTGAGACTGTGCCACATGTAAGTTAGAGTTATCAATTTTTTTTGCAGAATTAGTTTTAAACTTGATCTAGTGGGGAAATGCTAGAGTAGTTTGGTAGTTTAATTTCAATGATCGCCTAAAAATACCGCAACTTTCTAATTTAGGTCCCCAGCAATCGATCTTCTCGCCATTTTCCAATCAACCATCCACATTCCGCACTACCGCATCATCTGCTGTTTTTGGATCGACGACTCTTTTCCAGGTCTTGTATAACAATTTAAATTATGCTACGATTTTTTAGGCTCAAACATCTTCAAATCTTTTGCCAACATCATCTTCCACTGTTACCGTAAGTGCTCCGCAATCGTCAAGCCCTACCCCATCAGTTCCGATGGTTCGTTGAAAGATTTTTTAGCTCTAACTGAAGCGTAAATGTAATCGTCATGAAAATATTCATTCAATTCAAGGAGCTGTAAATTTAAGCGCAAAAATTCGTTTGCCAACTAGTAGCTTGGCATGTTTATTGCACGTTTTCTCTTTCAGGTAGCTTCATTCTTCGGCACTCGCCCGGCCACACTTCCAAATAGAGGTTCCTCGTCGTTTACATTTGCCTCTTCAGCTGCTCCAGCAGACCCAGCACCGGCTATCTCGACATTTTCTTCATTTGCCACCACAACCACAACCAAGCCCGCATTTCGACGGGAAGTAAGTTGTTCAAGAGCAGCCAGTTAGACAGAAAAAGAATTTGATAAATTTTGGCGCGACTGTCGACCATCAGCCTCAACCAGATAGCCGTGCGCAAGAGGAAAGCTCTGTGGTCCTAGTTGAAGAAGGTTGTTCACAAACTTTAAGCACATGATTTTCTTGTTTAGATTTACTTCCTCCAACGGACGGCGTTTCACAAGACGGCCTCCTCTCGGCGATCACTTCATCTAGTGGCGAGGGTGTTGGCGGAAGAAAGCGAACAGCTACAGGAAATGAAACAGGTAAAGGTGTACGAGTTTAGCTTAATGCAGTCTTTGCTTGTCTCAAACTATCTGTGTCTTGTTCAGACAACGAAGCAAAGCGTCAACGCGAAAGCCCCGGTGAAGAGCAAATCACAAGCAGTGAACGATTGCACGACGAGGCAGAGGTGACGGTACTTTTATTGCGTAAAACTTATATTACATTTTGTATCAGCCCTTCGATGACGCCTTATTTTAGGTGTTGCTTGACGAGGACGTCTCAAATGAAGCGCTTGAAGAAATCCCAGGGGAAGATGAGGATTTGGGAGATCACGAAGACGAGGATTTGGAAGGATTGGAAGAGGAGGGAGAAATTGGGGAAATGGAAGAGGGAAACGACGATGGACTGCCGGAAGTGATTGACAACTTTGAAGATGACGATGATGATATTCAGGTAAAGTTTTGAAGTAATGCTTTTGAGTGTATCAACTGTTGACTGACTTTATTATAACGAATTAGATTGTCCTGTTTAGGAAGTCCCAGACCACCCACTCCAACATCAACGAATGCAGCGTCAGGGCACGCCAAGTGATGACGATATTCAAGTGCTTTCCTCGGACACTGATGAAGGAGATGGGGCAACTGACTCAGAAGAGTAATTTCTAGATCCTTTGCTAGATTGTACTACTTTTAACAGGAAGCGTTTCCTAATAAATTAATATGTTTAGTGATCAAGGCATTGGACGAATGGACGAGGAACAAGGGGATGAAGAAGAGGCCGAAGATTTCGACTACGGTGGGGGAGCCGAGGACTTGGATGATGAAGAGGCAGCTGTGGATTTTGTGGATGATGGTGGGTAATTTGATAAATTTTAGAGCAGCCACTTGTCGACCACCCAGCCTCAACCAGATAGCCGTGCGCAAGAGGAAAGCTCTGTCGTCCTAGTTGAAGAAGGAAGACAAACTTTAAGCACATGATTTTCTTGTTTAGATTTACTTCCTCCAACGGACGGCGTTTCACAAGACGGTCTCCTTTAGTGATCAAGGCATTGGCCGAATGGACGAGGAACAATTTTGTGGATGATGGTGGGTAGTTTGGTTTTTTTGCAAACGCTATCTTTTTTTAGATGGTGAAGTGGAAGTAATTCAAGGAATCGATCAAAGCGATCACGATGCTGGTGGTGATGTTGATGAGCAGACACAAGGTATGGCTCCATCCAAACTTTGCAGCTAAAATAGGTTTTAGATGCTGAAAATGTTGGCGACGATTTGGGAGATCTTGGCGAGGAAAGAGAAGCCGCATCGGCGATGGAAGAAGCAGACGATGAGAGGGAAGAGGGTGAGAAGTCGATGCGTGCTGCTGAAGACGAGGGAATTGCTGGAGGTATATGGCTTTGGGCAGTTTGATTCAGAGTGCGGGTCTCTACGTGACTCCAATGAATCGTCAACAAACGGCACAACGTGGTGGAATGATCAGTGGACGAGGACAGCCACAAATGGTAGGCTTACCTTTAGCGAAAAATGAGTTTGTGGTAATGGAACGAAGGAACTTGTAAATGAAATTCCCGTAACAATCGAGCAGTGGCAGTGTTTTGAAATGCAAGAACTGCTTCCAATAATTTTCAAAATTTTCCTTTTTAGGCTCGCCGCGGTGGTGCTCCAGGACTAGCACAACGAGCTCGTCGGGGAGGAGGTCGAGGAATCTAAGCAAAAGAGCCGCGGGACATCAAAAAGTATATTCATGATTTATATTTTTGTTCGTTTTTAAAAATTTCTTATTTTTTCAACATTTTTCACTGATACTCTCTAAAGTGATCGATGTTCTGATTGGTGTGATTCTGTGTCAATTTATTGATTAGAGTTGAATTTGAAATGTGTAGGAAAATACGTGTTTGCGTCTCGGTTTTCTTTTTTGCCAATAAAATATTGATATTCATTACACGTCAGAATAGGCGCCGGCGAGTGATTGGGGTACCCAATTTCCAACCACTGAGCTACAACAAATACAGTCAAGCTTTTATATAACGATTTGAAATTGTAAAAGGTGTCCCTGATTTCTGCGTAGCTGCCCAATTAGCTGCAATCGTTGGGCGCACAGGGCAACTACGCAGAAAATGTGGGGCGCGTTTTAGAATCGTTATAGAAATTTTTGGTCCCTTTGATATCGTGATAGAGACTGTAAGTCTCAGTTCAACCGTTCCGATCGGATGATCAACTCAAGAGACAGTTTCTCTAAATGATCTAATATATTATAATTTTGAGCAAATGTCTGTCGGTTTGTGTGTATGTCTGTTACCACTATTTCGCTTCACCATTTGTGAAAGGCAGCTCGGGCTGGAATTTGCTTCTTTCTAACGTGAAGCTCGGAGTTTTTCGCGCTACAGTTAAACTACGGCAATTTGGAGTAGCCAGGAGTTTGGTCTAACGCTGGCCTGGGCCTCGAATAGAAGACGGGGTCTAGGGGGTGATTGAAAAAAATAGAAGACCGGTCTTCTATTCGAGTAAATACGGTAAATGTTTTTAGTTTCCGAAGCTGTTCGCGTTGTTGAAGTGAGTGATGAGGATCCCGAGCATGCCTTCACGTTAAACGAGGCCGCTCTTGAAAAGGTTCTCTTGGACAGAAAATATGCCGATAAAAAGGTTTGTTTTATATTTGAAAACAATGTACATCTTGTGTTTTTTAGGTAGCCGTTATTGGGGTGGCTGGTGTTTATCGTAAAGGAAAATCGTTCTTGCTCAACTTCTTCCTTCGTTATTTGCAAGAGCTCGAACAGTACAAAGGCTTTAATAAAATTTTCAAGCTTTTAATTGTGTGAATTTAGATCATGAATGGCTTCTACCTGATTGTGATTAGTGATGCTTAATAATGCTTAATGTACTTAATGTTAAAGTTTTGTTTGTTTAGATTTATAAATGTTGGCCGGTTAGATGTTGTTGCTTTTTGTTATGTTTTGCGAGCTTTTCTCTTTATCGTTGTGACTTGGAATAAATGTATAAAATATTGTTCGATGATGGGGTTACTGTTTGAAGCGGTTGTCAATTTCTTGATTGATTGACTTTTTCGAGCTTTACATTTTGTAGCGCTTTACGGCCTGGCTATCCCAAGGTAATTTCACTATTTCTCTAACATTTCCGTTATCCGTGAAGCACCTCTTCGTTTCAAAACAAAGTCTAGTCTTGTATTTACAGGTCATACCGTCAAAGCCAGTCATACCGTTCAAAATGAAGAATTGTTTGAAGTCATTTCCGATGGAGAAGTTGTGTTTCGATTTGAAGTTGGAAGTGTTGGAGCAAATGGACCCAAGGGATGTGCTTGAGTTGGTTAAGGTGAACGAAGGATTCAAAGGGATGCTCGTGAGGGATCCGTCGATCGTTTTTGGAGAGCGCGTCTTAGAGATTCAATCATACAATGAGATGATTTTGATCTATCAGTTTTCCAATTCACCTTTAGTAGAGCTCAATGTCTCTTCTCACGCTTCTTTCTTCAAGAAGATTCGATCGTGCGATTGCTTGAGGGTCTGGATGAATCTGGATGAAGGAATATTGAACGATCAATACACACTTCTGCGCAATTTGAAGTCTGTGAATAATTTCCGCCTGGAAGGGAATTCAAGAGAAGCTCTCGAGAGATTCTTCTCAAATGTCCACGCATCGATCAAGAAATATGCAGGGCTGAATATCGAACTCGGTGAAGATGAAGATGATCAAATGATCAACGGTTTCATCGAGAATTTCATCATGGCACAACTCAAGGATTGCGAGAAATTTGGGTTTCACTGTTATTCCAAAGATTTATTTAGCTTTTACTACGACGTCCTGTTGAAGACTGAGATCAAAAACGTTTCTATTCTTGATGGTTCTATGGTTGTTGATGGTTCAGACATTGGTTGGATGGCTCAACAGATCGTCACCAATGGAATCCCGAGCAAGAACCCTGAGGCTACTATCTTGATTTATACACATACGATAGGATGGATGCCTCACATGATGGATCCCTCACAATATCCAGGAATACGACGAATCGATGGAGAGAATCGTCTTCGACTTCTCAAACAGGCGGAGGATGTTATGGAGAATTTAGGATGGTGTCTTTCTGATTATAATGTGAGTGGATATTCTGATTCTGATGATTATGGTGGCTCTGATGGTTCTGATGGTGCTGATGGTTCTGATGGTGCTGAGGCTTGTGGGGGTTTCGACATGGAAAGCTCAATCTTCCGTCGACGCATTGATTCAACCAAGGACTGCGTCTGCGTGTACGGTTATTTTGTGCGCTCCGTGGTCTTCTTGGCCTTCTACGTGCCGGTCGGTTAAAATGAACACTCTTTGATGATTCATTGTATCTTTTAGCCGCTTTCTATTGTTTCCATTTTTTGATTTGGCAGATTATTGGTGTTTTATGTGTTATGTGTTGCCTTTCAATTATTCGGAATAAACTTTTAAAATCTTTTGTGAAATGAAAAGAAAATGATTTGATATTATCTGTACTTTTTAGAAGTCTAATTGATTGTGAGAGTGTCAGTGCGGTTATTCCATTAGATAAGTCTTCGTGAAGCGGCAACGGCTTTTCGCAAAATGCCATCCGAGACCTGCAAAGACGTGGATGCGAAAAACTCCAAAGCTACGGTTGGGGATTTTTTTGTTTATAACATGCGTATTTATTGTTTCTTTTTAGGGATCTTTCTCGGCACCATGGTTGAACCTCGACTCGACGTCAGAGTGCTGACCGCGCCAACTGACCCCAATGCCAATCTCATTTTAGAAAACTTGAATAAATTGTTATTCTTATTTTGTTTTAAAATAAACATTAAAATAAGGCTTTAAAACCTGAAACCTTTTGACTTTCCCTCAAAAAAGTTGGGAGATCTTTTGAAAGCAGATTCTTTTGCAGAACGATAAAAAGCAGTGAGGCTTTTCAAAAATGATCTCATCAATGATGATTTCCTGTGCAGATGAGAAAAGCGAGAAGATTATCACGTGAGTCATTGTTTAAAAGACAAAATGATAAGTGCAGGTGTTGAATTAAAAGAAACCATTCCAGCCGGGGATTCCGGGGAATTCGATTTCGGGATTCGTGGTGGTGAAGCTAAAAAGCTGGATTCTTTCAAAAATGGTTTCATCTCTCATTTCTGACGGGTTTTTCTTTACGAATAAAATCTTTATTGAAAGCCTTAGAACAAGACGTAGGTTTCCATCAACTACATCATCAATAAAGTCGAAGCACGAGGATGTAGGTTTGCGTGTCGTGGTAGTAGCAAGCGTACCTTAAAGATAGAAACCAAACCGATCCACCCCAAACCGGCACTCGACGTGCCTTCCCCCTTACCGATTTCTAAAGGGAAACACTTTATACCAAACGGGTGTGCTAGGTCGCGAGCGATTACGCAACCGAACAAAGAACACCTCGCCAGTCATTTCATCTCATTTTCATTTCTACATAAAGTCTCATTAACCTGGATAATTTGATTTTCGTGAGAATCGGTTCTATTTCGGTTCTTTAATGCTTTCAAATTCTTGCAAAATCATCTAGAAAAAAGCTTTTGATAATCCGGGGCATTCCAGAAAATGGAAGGAACCAAATTTATGCTAGAGCAGTCAGAAATTCAGTTTCAAGAAGAATAAAACAGACAAAAACTTCTGAAAGGAAAGTTTAGCTAATTGAATGAAAAAAAATGCAGCTGGATTATACTTTTCTTTTAACGTTCGACTAGTTTCAATCATGAGACAAAATTTCTCGAACCTGAGTCTCTGTAACGTTCAGTAAACGAGCGAACTCTTGTCGCTCGCTTGACGAGAGATATTTCTTTGCATCAAACTGTCGCTCTAACTCGTATATCTGCCGTCCGGTGAATTTTCATTTTCTCCTCGCCTTTTTCTCGCCTCAAACAACTTTGTCAACTCGCAAAAAGTCGTCTTTAAGGGGTTGAGTTATCTCTTTTCTTGGAACTTGTCTAGATTTGCTTTTGTGCATGTCTGTTATCACTATTTCGCTTCACCAGTTGTGTTTTGCAGAGGGCAAAGCATCGAACTAGGGGTAATCGGGGAGGGGGAGTGGTCAGAGTCTGTTTTTGTATTAAATATGCTAATTTTTGAAAATCGAAGGAGGAACCGACCGGAGTTTTGGCAAGAATGAAGAAAAGGAGAGCTTTCATATGCAACTTTCGAAATGTTCATTTCCAAGGTTAGTGCTAATTTTAGCAGCTGCGTAGCGGATGCCCAGCGTGGCTGGTAACTAATAAGGACGATCAGAAATGAAATCCGGAAACACTGAGTTGAAGCTGCACGGAAAGGGTGTGTTTATGAGATCGCCTTTATTCGCCAATTCGCCGCGTTTTTTTGGCTCTCCTTAGGCAGTCTAGGAATTGAGTCTACTTCCAAATTCTATTGAGTTTTCTAAACGTCTTGCTTTTTGAAAAACTTGTTTTTGACATTTAGAAATTTGGTGATCTTATGATGCTTTTTGTTAACGCTCAGAAATTGAAAGAATCCATTCCATCAACTTATATCACAAAAGAAAAATACGATAAAGATAAAAGAAGTATAAAATAATCAGAATTGGAAACAAAAAAAGGAAAAAAAAATGATAAGTAGAATCCTTTGACCGTCAACTTTGGGAATTTCAAAATCTTGCGAACTTCGCAATTAAGAAATCGATTAGAGCCAAGATTGCCAACAGGTTTCTAGGACCATAGCTATCATTGCCAAATCCAACAGCAATGGCCAAGGCCAATTGAAGACCGTTGGTTTTGGCTCGGCTTGATTGGTGATGGCTTTTGGCATCTTGGAAAAGCCCTGGTTGGCACAAGTTGACGATCAAAGTTAATGGAAAAAGAGAAGAGGTGATCAGCGAGATTTGGAAAAAAACGAACAAGAAATGAGCAGCGGGAAAGATGAAAAAAGTTAGAAAATTTGAGAAATGTTACAAAGTTCACACATCGGAAAATATGTTCATACATTGGATTGAAGGTGATTTTCGATGGCAAAGATATTCGGAGATCGGTTTTTTTAGATGTCGACAGCTCTTTCAATAGTAGAACGTGCGATTCTGGTTGGCGGGTCGGGCTGGAATTTGCTTCTTTCTAACGTGAAGCTCGGAGTTTTTCGCGCTACAGTTAAACTACGGCAATTTGGAGTAGCCAGGAGTTTGGTCTAAACCTGGCCTGGGACCAACATGTTATTGTCGGTTACAACTATGTCGGTACTAGTATATGATTTAGCACTCACCCAGCCCGGGTGGAGGCTCGTGGAAGGAGTCTCCGTCACCGCCGAGCTTCCCCATTCCGCCGCCGATTCCTCCACCGATTCCACCGCCCATCCCACCGCCAATCCCTCCACCCATTCGGGATTTCGATTTCGGGTGTCTGAATGACGGGATTTCATTGTTGTTTTTGAATTGGGCTTGGTTTCAAGCACGATCTTCAATCCAGAAGCTTTGATATACAAAAGAATGATTTTCTCACCGAAACGCCGTCGTACTCTGATTGTTTTTCGTCGAGCTATCCGGGGTTTTCGATTTGTTACTTGAAGAGGCCGATTGGGAGTAATAGGAGACATTCGAGTGCTGTTCGCCGAGCAATGTCATCTGCAAATGTTTACATAAAAGATAAAAGTCTAAACTATATAATACCACAAAACGATTCTAATCGGACGCAAGCAATGGTGTTGTTTATGCTCATTTTTCATCGCCCAATTCTAGTTTCTTTAGCTCTAAAGTGTGACCATAGCTACCATAGCACAGAACTTCGTATCAGAGGCTTTATGCCAGCTATCAGAGGCCTGCTGTGGCATCAAACAAGTGCTTGGTCGTGGATTACGGTAGCTGGGACTCACTTTAGAAGCTGACTTGAAAAGACGACTAGAAGTTTTGAATGTTTCTATGCAACAAACAAACCGTAAAGACAAAAGCATGCTATTGGACAGGAGAAAGAGATCAGTACTTTGTGCTTTCCGAATCCCCTAAACACCGCCTTCCTGGCGCACTCAATTCCTCCCTTTTTTTCACTCAGCAACGATTTGATGTCACGGGGGAAATGGAAGAATTGAGTGCACCAGAAAGGGGGTGTTTACGGGATTCGGAGAGAGCACAAAATACATCCAAATCATTCAAAATGGAACAAGCCAAAGCCACGCAAATCTTTTTTTGTTTCTTCTATTCAGCCCACTTTTTTCGAGACGGCCACCCGAAACTGGAGGGGATTCCGAAAGAGACGCTCGGCGTTTAGCCACGGCGGTGGATACCAGATGCGATTACATGGCATCTACACGAGAATTCGGTAAGTTATAGCTGGATAGGGGATAAGTCCGTACTCTACCGACATAAGACGGCATTTTTCGGCGGAACCCAGGTGGTTTTTTGAAGTTTTGAATGGGCTTCTGGGACTGCAATCTCTGTGGAATAGTTTGCAATTGCAAACTATCCGAGATCCGGATATCTTGAGATTTCAAGCTGTTCCACAGTTCTTTTAGTACAAATTCAAGAACTCTATCGGGTTCACTGGGCTCCGTCAACAAATCCCATCTTAAGTTGAAACTTTTTTATATTGTATTGTATTGTATTGTGTCTTTCTCTCTTTTAATCCGTTTTTCTAAACCGTCTCTTCTTTCTACCGTAATATGTCTCTATCTTTCGATATCCTTTCTGAACCCTCACAGAAACAGACAAAAAGTCGATCGATTGGCTTAAAAATAGAGACAGAGTATGGTAGAAAAGGGAAACTTTATAGAAAACGGGTTACTGATCGATTGATCGATCGAGAGAAACGATTCATCGGTGCAGCGACAGATTTCAAAAGAGAAGAACACAAAGGCCGAAATTCGCTTTGAGCCCATATGCTGGGACTAATCATAAACGATAGAGACTTTCAAAATGAACACCAGAAAATTACCGATCCGAACCGACCTGTATAATGAAGTCGCGATGCCTCATCATGCTCTCCTCATCTTTCTTCTCTTCGCCCTCCTCACTCGGTAAACTGATCGTCTCGCTTCTGAAATATCCAAATTTAGCTAATCAGTTTTCTAAAAGGCACCGTAACCCACTACAAACTTTACCTAAACGATTCAGCTTTTTCCGAGGGTTCGGTGGACGTCTTCTGCGAGTCTTCCACCGATTCCGAGTCCTCGAATTCGGCTGTCGGCGCTTCGGAGTGCTCGGCTGATGTCCTCTGCACCTCAGCATACGCGTCGAAATCCTCTTGGCTCTGGAATCAATTAAATTTTATTTCAAACTGAGCAATACAATGCATTTTGAGTGAGTCTAGGCCAAGAGCTAAGTCAAATACTAGGTTCAGGCTGCGTCTAGGTTGAAGTATTTTTAGGCTAAGCCGGACCAGCCTAGGCTAACTATAAGAATCAGGCCCAACCCTGATCGATTATGGCTAAACAAGAGACTTTTTGTTGGCGAAATTTTGTTTTTGTTGGGTTACCGGTGAATCGGATCCACTCGGGACATTCTCCTCGTCGGACTCCCGGGATTGAGCTCGATTCATCGTTTTTGTTTCGGAATGATCGTCTTTTCAAAGTTATGTTTCACTTTGGACGAGGCGAATCGATGATTAGCTTCAGCAATCAGAAATTGTCTAGAAATTTTTCTAACTTGATCATTTAAAGACTTTTAAAAAACTAAAGTACGAGAATTTTTTTGGATTTGTTAAAATTGAAACACGTAAAAGCAAAAGTCTCTTTTTTGACATTTAAAATTTGAAGGGTCAAGATGAAAGAATTTCTTAAGAATTCACTCTTTTAAAAAAATAGAAATAGGACTGGAAATTGGCTCTGTAACGAGGAGAATTGAGGCTTTAGAGGCACATCGAATACAGTTTCATTCCAATTAAACTCTAGGAAAAGTCAAAGCCAACTCTGAGCAAATGACGCCAATTCAACTCCGAGTTTTCATTGCTTCATTTCCATGGGGTTTTTATGAGCAGCAGATAATATAATAAAACTGTATTTGGTGTCATTTTAAAGCCTCAAATCTCCTCGTTACATTTATAGAAAAAGTTAACAAGAATTTGTTCTCTGGGCAAAGTTATAGACGAACAAAGCCACACATTCAGAAGGCTTGGATTTCGGCCCTTTTTTGGAGTCGAATTTTTTGTTGATCGATTAGGGAAAAAATAGAGACTTGAGTTGAACTGGCTTTGCTTGATTTAGGTCATTGGCACAAAAAGAACTATATGTTTGAACTGTAAGAGAAGAGCAAAAAGAGCAATCTCTATAGTTTAATAACTTTGAAACGAATTTTCACGAAAATTTGAAACTTTTGAAAATCCAAAAATCGAAAATTCAGAAAATGCAAGAAATTTGAGGAAAAAGTTTGTGCAATTTGCCGGGAAAAGCAATTATTTCTCCAGTTCGCACACCAAATAAACAAAGATTTTCGGCCAATATTTGGGTTTGTTTTTTGTGAAAAAATCAGTTTCAAATCTAATAGGTCTATTGAAAATTTCGAAAATTTTCCGCAAACAATATTTCGAATCAGAAATTTCCCGGGAAAAGGTCTAATTACTCGTTTGTTTTCTGGCGTTTCTTGGCTACAGGTGGTAATTTTTTTTTGGGAAAATAAGACAAAGCTGAGAATTTGTGATTTGCGTAAATTGCAAATCTTTTATGGAAAGGAAATTTATATGGAATTTGAGCGAAAGTTTAGTTGAGTTTCCTTTTGCCGAGTTTTTGAGAGGATTCAGCAAAATTCCCCAACGATCATCTGAATTTTGCTGAATCCTCTAAAAACTCGGCTATCAATTCAATTTCTCCATTCAAAAGCTTCTCTCCTTTTCTCTAGAAATGATTGATGATAAAGCTAAAGAATTCGGAGTTGGGTAAAAGATAAAAGAAAATATTTTCCCCATATAATCACAAATTCTAACGATTTGACGTAAGCATTCACATTTTTGCATTCTATTTTTTCAGAAAAAATTGCTGAATCCTCTAAAAACTCGGCTTTCAACTGAGGGAACTTCCATCTTTCATCTCAAAGAATTGCTAAACTTTTAATCCATTTATCTTCAGCTATTCTTGACAAAATAACACTTATCTGTCAGACAGTTTATCTATTAGAAGAAGAAGAAGATCTGGGCTGGCTTAAGCTTTAATATTATAGTGCAACCAGAAATGTAACCAGATCGACTGTAAAACCCGACTACCGCCTTTTGGGTCGCTAAAATTGAGACACGTGATCGGATTAGAGGTGAAAGATGTAAAGAATTGATATCGTGTACTTTGTGCCCTCTCGAATTCCGTAAACACCCCCTTTCATTCGGCGCACTCAATTCCTCCATTTTCCCCTCATATCAGGGGAAAATGGATGAATTGAGTGCGCCAGAAAGGGGTACAAAATGCATTCAAATAAGGGAGAGGTTTCGAATTGAAATTTGGGGAAATTTGGGGAAATTTGTGAATCGTTTCGCTTTTATTTGGCGACAAATAGACTAAAAAAGCAATTATTTTCGCCTGGGAAACACTCGCCGAAAACTAATTGAAAAAATTTTCTCATTTCTATTTTTTCAAAGGGGATTTCGAAATTTTATTTTACAAAATCTAGCTAAGAAAACTTTACGAAAGAGTTTTTTTTTAAAAATAGGCGTGTGATTGACAGGTTCAGGGACTACGAGGCGGGGGTAAGCGGGGGTGAAAGCTAATTTTTCGTTTTTTTTTCGCAAAAATTACTTTTCAGGGTTCAACGATTAGCTCGAGTTTGAGGCTTTTTTTCGAGGGAAATCGAAAACAGAATCCATTTTCTCAAAAATTTCAGACAAACCTACCGTAATCTAGCCGCTAATTTGAGCTTTGATGAGCAATTTTTTGATGAGAGGGAATCAATCAATCAATAAATCAATAAATCAATCACTAAATGATCGCGAATTACAAGGCACAGTCAATCATATCAAAATTGGGCTTATTGAAAGGATAAATGGCTTTGATTGACTGAAATGGGTGTCTTTTAGGAAATCGATTAATCAATGAATGATTCAAAATGAATTAAGCCAAACAGTAGCGTGGGTTTCTTTTAGTTTTGTTTAAAAAAGTTAAAGTCAACTCAGAAATAAAGAATAAAATAATTAGTGCGTCTTTGTAGCCGCCAAAGTTGAAACTTGTAACTTTTCGTTAATTGCTATTGAGAAAATAGCTGTTTTGATTGAAAATTGGTTTTTGCTTGGTTAACTTGGTGACGTCTTGGCTGGCAATGTTTCAAATTTGGGGGTATTTAGAGGAATTTAGAACTTGGAATGTGCGTGGTTATAGTTTGTTAAAATGGGCAGTTAATTCAAAAGGTAATTTCGAAAAATATTTCAAATGAGGATTGAAAATTGGAGCTATGCTTTGTGGTGACTAAACTTGAAACGTGATACTTGTGATTAGAATAGCTGTATGATCAGGAATAGGGTTAAGGATTGTTCGAAGCTTTTTTTAAAGCCTGAAGTTACACATCGAGGCTTAGTTTGTTCGTTTTACACATCGTTTAACAAGTTTACCGATGATTTGGTGTTTTTTTTGTAAATAGACGAAGTAAATAGACGCCGAGATTATTAGCGAGAATGGGGTCTTTAATGAAGCATTTTGAAACATTGAATATTTAACACGGTAACCGATGACTCTAGCGACAGAAATCTGTTTTAAACATCTATTCTAAATGTTATTTGCAGTTCAATGAAGTTAAATCGATCTTAAAAAGGTTTTAAAGTTATTTCTTAAAAACTCTTTCTAACAAAATTTCAGAAATTCTTGCAGAAAAGCGAAAAAAAACAAAAAAGACAAAAAAAAATGGAAACTCGTGAAGGAGTTCAAAGAATTGGACCACAATTCTTTGCGTTTTCACGAAAAAATCCCAAGAGCTCAAATTTCCATTTTTTTGTGCCTAAGGGCACTTGTTAGCACTTGAAATTTTTGGCTTTTCCTCTTTGAAATCTTCATTTTTTTTCGCAGTGCCAAGTGATTTTCCCGAACTCATTTGTGCTTTTTGAGCCTCTTCCCCGGAAATGTGAGTCACGTACGGGAATTTCCTGGCAGACTTCGGAGAAGAACAAAAATCTAGTTTCAAGAGTTGAAAAGAAATTCTTTTCATTGAAAAAAGGTTTAGATTTCGAAAATGAAACCACAATTTCTGCGTTTTAATGTAAACGATTTTAAAGGAAAAGACAGGGAAGGTTATTATGCGAAATAAATCTTAAAAACTTGATATTTCCCTGAAAAGCTTGCTGACGTTTCCCCTTATTCTCGACATTACACCGCTTTCGAGTCACGTTTTCGCATTTTTTTGGATTTTGGATCTTTTTCAGAAATCGAAAACAAAATTCTAAGGAAAAGAAATGTTACTCGACCGGAAATGGCTAAAATTTTGGGATTTTTGAAATTCTCTGACGGAAATGTCAAGATATTTTGAGCATTTGCGTATCGAACCGAAAATTTCCCCAAAAGATCAGTTAATTGAAACTAGCGAATTCCTCTGCACTTTCTCCGCTTTTGAAATGAGAAATTGGTGTAAAAGCTGTTTTGATAAGTTGTCAGGGATTTCAAATTGGATACTGTACTTTTGGCATTAAATATAATTGTATTACGAAGCTTAGAAAGATATTCAATCAACGAAAGACGGCACGAGAAACCTCATTGAAGTTTCCCCACTGAAACTCTGAGGCCACAATTTGAAACATCGATTCTTCGAGGTGTACTTTTAGCTCAAAAATTCCGTAAACATCCTCCTTCTAGTGCACTCGATTCTTTCATTTTCCTCTTACAAAAACGATTTGGTTTCAAGGGAAGAATGGAGGGAGAAAGTACACCAGAGGGCGGGTGTTTATGAGATTCGAAGAGCACAAAAGGCGAACACTTATTGGCGTTTCAGCCGCTGATCACAAAGTGTTCAATTTGAAACTGAAAAAAAGAAAATGAGTGTCCTTCGACTAATCAATTTTACAATCGGAACTTGTCCACAATTCAAGAATAGAGAAAATTAGTGTAAATGTTCTAAAATGACTTAGACAAGAATGAACTAAGATCTATTCTCCAAAAATTTCTCAAAAACTTTGAAAACTTACAATTTTCTCTTGGAAAAAAAAATGAGAAAACGCCGGTTCTCTCAATTTTTTGGCTTATAAAGCTTGAAATTTCCCACAAAATCTAAAAAGGCTTAATGATTTCATAGAGGAAATGGGATTTTCAAAGAAAATAAGCGGAAATAATGAGCTCACAAAGCCGGTGTTTGCCTTGTAATTCGAGGAGAGATTTCCGCGTGTATGAAAAAAACAAGGGTTTGTTATGAAAAATAGATGGCTCTAAAGTTCAAATTTTGTACTTAAAATATTCGTGATGCGTTGAAAGATGAAAAGATTCTCGTAGTCTCGTTTTTGAACCAATAAAGTAAAGCCCAGCTAGCACGAAAGGACAGACAGATCTGGCTTTTGGCTTTTAGCTTGAGCTAGCTCTGCTTAGTTGCCTTTGGAAAGATGGTTGAGAGATGTGTAGATAGACATCGATCAACTAGGTCAATTAA